ATGCTAGTCTGACTGGCAAAGACTTAAAATCTGCTTCACATAAATTCCTAAGAACATTCTTGAAAAAGCAGGTTTCACCCTGAAATGGCTGTTTTGAGCCACATGTGATTCTTTGTAGCTTTGGCCAAAAGTGTGGTGTTTTGGGAATAAACAATAGATTATTTTACATAACTGCATCATTATCAGAGCCAGCTAAATATGAAGAACAATATAGGTAGCTTAAGTCAGGCCCATCTACTTCTGGACCATGGGTTCCCATCCATCCATCTTCTGAACCCGCTTTGTCCACATAGGGTCTTGGGGGAAGGGGGGGGGGGGGGGGGGGCTGGTGCCCATCTCCAGCAGTCAACGGGCAAGTAGGCGGGGTACACCCTGGACAGAGTGCCAGTCCATCGCAGGGCTCAATGGGTTCCCAACTGGCAAAAAAATGAATGGGAGCCTTTTGTCCCATGGATTTCATATATGATGTCTGAGAATTTTAAAGACACATTTTGATGCAAAGAAAGTGTTTATTTTCCAAACGGCTGCAAGTTATTTTAGGTTTTGCGTGAAAAGTTGTAAAGGACTACAAATGTACGACTCACCAAATTGACATCATCAAAAAGACAAGATTTTTTCAGCTTTGAATCTTTCTTCCAGGACAAAAAGAGCATTAAAAGTGGAGAAAATCACTATAAATCTGACCATGTGAGAGATGGCAGCTATGCTGGGGTAGAGGAGATTCTGCGATGACATCATATTTTTATTTTAATTACAAAATTTCACAAGCTAATAAATCTCAAAGTACACAACGGACACACAGTTATATTTTATTTAAATTGAAGTACAACAAAATGTGATTCGGGGCATAAGGCAAAGCAGATTAGAAGATACCTTTTACAGCCCTGTTCACTTATATTCTTTATTATTTCATTCTGGGGAACGTGAGCCGACCGGAGGGAGGAGACATAGGCTCCCTATACTTTATGCAACTTCCTGACATGTAGAGGTGTTGCTTTCCACATCCACTTGCAAACTTGTTTCCCAACTTATTTCAATCATTAGTGCTAACTCTAGAAGCTTGCCCTCCTGTTTGCTCAAGCGAAGGTCTCAGCCTTTGCCTTGCGGTAAAAGTGTTACATCCTAGGAGGCAGAGGGAAGCAGAGTCGCTCAACAGCAGTTTTCTGGCTAAAAGCGCACACCAACCTCCGTTAGCTTTGGTTAGCATACAACTACATCAGCTCAGAGTTTGTTGGGTGTCAATCATCAGCCCCCACTCTCAGTTCCATTTTTGTATTTTGCAAGAGTGACACAGTGACAGTGGCAGTGGTAGGAGCTGCCCATTGGGCTTCAGTTCAGCTCTGTAGAAACTTCAAGTGGCGGTGCAGAATGTTCGTCTATTATATATACCGTCAACAGTTTTACCGATAACCCTAACCGGAGACTAACCCCCAAATTCCACTACCTCCGCTCCGCTGCGCTCCGCTCCGACACGAACGCCGGAGCAAAATCGGTCCCGTTCTAGTCAATCAGAGCAATTCCACTACTGCGGCCGTGCTCCGGCAGTGCGGCGCCGTGCGGCGCCCTCTGTTCCGGCGTCCGGCAAAAATAGAATCAATCCTATTTTTGCCGGACGCCGGAGCACCTCCGCAGTAAATGGACAGAAATCACAACGGCCCAACAGGAAAAGGAGCAAGCACATCTTCCGTTTTTCACAATAAATCGCTAAACAAAAGGCGTTTTTTGTTTCATATGCACAGGTTTAACAACTTTTAACAACTATCAATGGCGGCTGAAGTTTAAATGCACAAAAATAAGCCATAAATACAGTTGCCACTATCAAAGTAGTCACACTTTGTTGATCCAAACACTGCTGATCTCTCAACACAATGATGGGCAGATTAAACAGCTCATTTCGATGCTTCTCCCACACAACGGGTGTTTGGATCTAACTTCCGCGTTTATTGCTCGGACTGTATCGCAAGATCTCGAAAATCCCGCGCATGCTTGTTTGCCCCCCTCAGGTCTCCGCACCGGAGCGGAGCCGTTGTAGAGCGGGTACCAGTAAAAATTGAGTTCGGAAGCGAGCGGCTGCGGAAGGCGGGGGCGGAGCGGAGGTAGTGGAATTTGGGGGTTTAACCCCCAAATTCCACTACCTCCGCTCCGCTCCGACACGAACGCAGTGGAATTTGGGGGTTTAACCCCCAAATTCCACTACCTCCGCTCCGCTCCGACACGAACGCCGGAGCAAAATCGGTCCCGTTGTAGTCAATCAGAGCAATTCCACTACTGCGGCTGTGCTCCGGCAGTGCGGCGCCGTGCGCCGCCCTCTGTTCCGGCGTCCGGCAAAAATAGAATCTATCCTATTTTTGCCGGACGCCGGAACACCTCAGCAGTAAATGGACAGAAATCACAACCGCCCAACAGGAAAAGGAGCAAGCCAAATTCCACTACCTCCGGTCCGCCCCCGCCTTCCGCAGCCGCTCGCTTCCGAACTCAATTTTTACTGGTACCCGCTCTACAACGGCTCCGCTCCGGTGCGGAGACCTGAGGTGGGCAAACAAGCATGCGCGGGATTTTTGAGATCTTGCAATACAGTCCGAGCAATAAACGCGGAAGTTAGATCCAAACACCCGTTGTGTGGGAGAAGCATCGAAATGAACTGTTTAATCTGCCCATCATTTGTGTTGACAGATCAGCAGTGTTTGGATCAACAAAGTGTGACTACTTTGATAGTAGAAACTGTATTTATGGCTTACTTTTGTGCATTTAAAGTTCAGCCGCCATTGATAGTTGTTAAAAGTTGTTAAACCTGTGCATATGAAACAAAAAAACGCCTTTTGTTTATCGATTTATTGTGAAAAACGGAAATTGTGCTTGCTCCTTTTCCTGTTGGACGGTTGTGATTTCTGTCCATTTACTGCGGAGGTGCTCCGGCGTCCGGCGAAAATAGGATCGATTCTATTTTTGCCGGACGCCGGAACAGAGGGCGGCGCACGGCGCCGCACTGCCGGAGCACGGCCGCAGTAGTGGAATTGCTCTGATTGACTACAACGGGACCGATTTTGCTCCGGCGTTCGTGTCGGAGCGGAGCGGAGGTAGTGGAATTTGGGGGTTAGGCTCCCATAGTCTAACTCTTAATTTATGATACCGATATAAACCATTACCAATATAAGCAGGGCCCTCCCTCATTTTTGTTTAATTTATTCTTTATTTAACCAGGAAAGACCCAATGAGATTAAAAACCTCATTTTCAAGGAAGTCCTGGTCAAGAGGCAGCTAAAGTTACAGTTACAAAATGTTTCAGTTACACAGACATGTTACGTACAATATTACAGAAGGCAGTTACAACACAGGGAATCTGTCTCAAGGGCCCTCAGTCTGGTTTTAAATGTATATAAACTCAGTTAATTTCCAGTTTTCCTGCAGCCTGTTTCATGCAGAAGGAGCAGAGTGAACAAAAGCTCTTTTGCCCAGTTTGGTGAGATCAAATGAAACACAAAGTAACAACTGATCATTTGCATGCAGACTGTGAAAAGTTACACTTCTCCATTTTGTTACAGATGTAGTTGGGCAATAATCCAAGCCTTATAAATGAAGGTGAACCAATGTCCCAACCTCCTGGTGGAAAAAGGCCATCCCACTCCAGAATAAAATTCACACTGATGGGGGCCAGTGGTCTACAGTTAGTAATAAACCTCAGTGAGGCATGATAAACCACATTCATCTTACTAAGACACTGTGCTGAGGCACTCATATACAAAAGGTCTCCATAATCCAGAATAGACAGACATGTTGCAGTAACTAGTCAATTTTTGCCTCAAAAGAAAAAAACTGTTTATTTAAAGAAATAAATAAATAAGAAACCCAGTCGGAGTTTGAGTTTCTTCACAAGATTATACATATATTATCTATATGAGGCTTAAAGGAGAGGGAGTCATCGAGCCAGACACCAAGGTATTTGGATGTGTGGACCACCTCAATGATAATTCCCTCAAGAGTAATCACTGAGGACAAACTTAGGTCATTATTAAAATTGTTACTAAAAAAGAAAAAGTCAATAATTTTAGGTAACTAACATCAAATATCTCCTATCATGCATAGTTAAACTTTAAAAATTATCTGTGCAAAATAGGACAATTATTCAATTGTTTTTCAACTTCAATTTAAGTTTGGCCAGTTTTACCAAACAAGCATGAAAAACTGTACATTGAATCTGGCCTCTTTTTTTTAACATTTTATGAGAGAAATATCTGAAGAGTTTGACTATAAAATGTGAAGGTATGTAATCAGAAGAGTATAAACCAATAATGTTTAAAATTTTACATTTTAATAAAAATTTTGTGTGATAATAATCATTAGGGCGATAATATCGGGTGCGCTTTGTCGCAAGGGTTTTGGATACATTATTAAAAAAAACATTAAAAAATATTTTATTAAAAATCATGAAAACACTCAAGCATGAAACAGAACAACCCAGTCAGGATGTTTTTCCTACGGCTGTTTCGGCTCTATATCCAAAGACTTCTTATTTTAAAGTACACTATTAAAAGTAATCAAAGTGACCGATAGTAATTAATGAATAAATATACTATTATATAATTGTATTGCTGACAAAGCGTATGGGTGAGCACAGAATCTCATGTAGAGGCTTATGTGTATGCCATCAATCCCACACGTGCACGAGAAAACAGCTTTCTAAAAAGCTGCAATGGCCTTTTATTTATTGATGAGTTCAACTGCCTAATGTTGCACACATCACTGGCACAGCTGTGACTCACACACCTGACTAGTTACGCTGCCTCCATTAAAAACGGTTCTGCGCAGCAAACTAGTTCAAGTTACTAAAGCTAACAATAACTGTGGTTGCACAGCATACTAGCTGTTAAGCTAAAGCTGATGCTTCACAACATACATGTTTCCTTTTCTCTAAGGCGTCTTTGTTTCAACAGTTGCGATATGAACAGTAGTGACGTATATTTATTTGTTTAGGCTTCCTTTTCACAACAAACGTGACTTACCTTAGCTCACTCCGCCCTTGCGTGTGATGCCAACGGAATGAACGATTGGCAAAGAGCCAAAGTCTCGTACCAGTAACTTGCTGCTGAATGAGAGAAAGAAGCTCACCACGCAGCGCCCGCTCAAAATATGCGCTCCCCTTTGATCCTGAGTCTCTGTGGAACGGTTTCCGGTCACGTGGCATGGGTCTCCACGCCCCCTTCAAGTTGCGCGGTTCCGCCATCTGGCGGGAAGCGTTGGAAACTATTTTGTTTCAGGAAAATGTTTTTTTTATGTTTTTTTTAACTAATTTTCTGATTGTAATTTTAATTTAAATGACAAAATTATAATATCTTTCCCTTAGAATTTAAGTTATAAATGCTTGTTATACTTCTTAAGGTCTTTTGATTTAATCTACAGGTTCACTTTACAATCATTATTATTTTTAACCCTTTGATGCATGAATTATGAAATCTTCAACCATGATTTTTTAAACATTTTTTTTCATTCATCTTTAGGTGTGAATGAAACAAATTTCATATTTACATATTTTTTGTAACATTTAATTTACACATAGTTTATTACATGTCCACCTCAGTGGACAGCGTGCATTCTGAACATGAAATATGTTGGCTTGGCTTACTGAAGTCCAAATGAAGGGGCTTAAATGCAGTAAAGTCTTCAACAGCTGTGCTTAATAGCAAAAATAAATAAATAACAATTTTGAGTACCTGTCCACTGTAGTGACCATTATGCATCAAAGGGTTAATATAATTTGATCTTGCAAAAATTAAAAATCTCATGCTTTGTCTAGATTGCATGCCGCAGTGAGTCCTGGAAAGAATTAACTTACGTATTTTGTAAAAAAAAAAAAACATTTTTGTGGAAAAAAGTTTTGACTTTAAAGAGCAAGTCACTCCAAATCAACATTTTTTTTCCTGATAAACTATATCAAAGAGTGTCTGATCGTGCTGCAGACACGTGTAGTCAATAATTCGGCACTTTAGTGCATCTTAGTTAAAATTTAAATATTCTGCCTTAAACTGTCGGTGTTGCACCATTGTCAGGTAAAAACTCAGCATTGCATTTGAATTTAAATCTGCCGTCGCTATTGGCTAAGAGGTACACTATGATGTTAGATGGTACATTATGATGTCACAATGTCGTGAGTGTGTGTATTTGTTAGCGGCTCCACCCTCTCGGTCTGCTAGGCAACAGCATTTGTTGCATTTTTCAAACAGGAAGTGGGAGTTGAGTAAGAATCTGGTAGGGGGTGACTTGCTCTTTAAGTATCATTTGTTTTGTCCCAGAATGGGAAACTTAAGGTGAACCAGCAGCAAGTGATTGCCAGCATGCATGTTAAAAGAAAAATAATTCGATTTGCACAACAAAAACATCAACAAACGATTCATACGATTTTTTTTAAATCTGTGCAAATAACAGCAATAGTGTAAAAGCACTATTGTGATTGGAATGAATTACTATAGCTGCTGAGAGGAAGGATCGACAATAACACATTTTTGTGTGATGCAGCAATTATCACTAAAGGAGCTCACCAGCCTTGCAATAGCTTCATGCATGGATTGGGCAAGATTATTCAGCAGTGATCAATCAATCAATCAATAAAATTTTATTTGTATAGCTCCTTCCACTGCCTTTACAGAAGCCCAAGGCGCTGAACGTGACATAAAAGAGCATAAAGACAGATTACAACCCGCATACAAATAAATAATAAATACGTTTTATTTCATGTGTGCTGCACATGATTACATTCTACAATCTGTCTGATATATATAATTTAGCCTTTCTGAGCGGCCATAAACACTCGATTAAAATGCACGAGGGGAGGCAGGCAGTACCCTGCCTCACTATAGGGGCAGTGCTGAGCCCCACAGACACCAGGGCAAATGGCCAGCTTGTACATGGTGGGGGTGTGTGAAGCCGACAGACCAGTAAGGGTGAACTAGCTTCAAAGTGCATTAGAAATTAATTAAAAATGACATCCTGTTGTAAAATGTGGTTACTGCAACCACTTTAAACAACTCTGGATCTTTTAGCTGGCCGTCATCAAACTACAACTGTCGTCGCTGCAGCATTAGCTTGCAGGAGACATGGCAACCCCACACTCACTAGTGGTAAACAGTAGTTACGTTCAGGGGTGTGTCCATGGAGAGGCCTGGGGTAGCAAATGCCACCCTTGGAATCTGATTGGCCACCACACAGAATTCCCTTTAGATAGGCTTTTCATTGTCAAAAAAGACTTGGGGTAAAAAAAAAAGCATAATCATTGGTGCCACCCATGCACAAAGTGGTGCCTCACCTGGGCCACACCATTTTAAAAGATCTGGACACAACACTGGTTACGTTTCTCCTTCGTTTCTTTTGAAAGTAAAAACTGACAATCCCCGCGGCCAGCTGGATATGAAAAGTTTCAGCATAACTATCCTTCCAAAATGACTGACTCTTTGGATTTTCTTACAGTAAAATTCTCACCGTATTCTTACATACTGCACCTTTAAATTTATTCTGACTAAATGGAAGATTTATGGCTCAAAACTGCAGGTTTTATTTAAAATGGATTTTCAGTCAGAGTCAGAGTGATCATGGAGAAGTCAGGTCCATGGACTTCATTAACACATAAATGTGACATCATACAGAATTTTCAACTGTAATAAAAGAACTGTCAAGAACAGTGAAGAAATGCTGTAGTCAAATGTGCTCAAATATTATTTTACTTTTCTTGCTAGTGTTTTGTTGACTAGTATGAAATTGATTAAATCATAATCAAGAAGTTTTAAAACAACAAAATATTTTATCTAAGGTGAAAAATAAAAAACAAACTTCTATTTTGGGACTCCAGAGCAGTCAGTGCCTGCCCAGTCATGAACCTTACTGCATGGCATGCACCATACACTCTTGAAGAGGTAAATAGCCAAACGGGCCACCGTCCTCTTTGAGATTATGAATCTTTCTTTCATTACGAATACTTAGTCAGAATAACGTGTGTATTCTACATGATATTTCAATAGAAATAAACATTTTTTATTGTTTTTGTATTGTCTATACCAAAATGGCCGGCGTGTCCAAACAAGGAGTGGACCAGGTGGGAACAAGCTGAGTCCCACAGAATCTCCTGGACAGAGCTTTGGAAAGCCGAGTGTGTTCGGATCAAATTCCTTGTCCAGTCCATGATGTCCTCCCAAGCCTAGCCAACCTACACACCTGGGGACTGGCAGACACTCCCGAGTGTAAGCTGTGCCAGAAGAGAGGCACCCTGGAGCACATCTTAAGCAGTTGCCCAAAAGCACTATGAGAGGGACGCTATCGCTGGCACCATGACTGGGTGCTTAAAGCTTTGGCGGACTCAATTAAGCACAGCAAGACCCAGGCAGCTCCCCAACAAGCTATCACCTTTGTTAAAGCAGGGCAGAAGGCACAATGCCACTGGCCTAGCTCCCAAGGGGGGCTTCTCTCTACCGCTCGCGATTGGCAGTTTCAAGTTGATGTAGGTAGACAGCTCAAGTTCCCAGAAAACATCACAGCTACGTCTCTCCGCCCAGATATGGTGATATCTGAGTCCACCAAGCAAGTGGTCATCCTAGAACTGACAGTCCCTTGGGAAGACCATATTGAAGAGGCCCACGAGTGAAAGACGGCCAAGTACTGTATGCAGAGCTGAGCTCGGAGTGTCGGAACAACGGCTGGAAAGTTCGTTGTGAGCCTGTCGAGGTTGGGCGCCGAGGCTTTGCTGGCCACTCACTGCTGCGAACCCTCAAACTCCTTGGAGTAAGAGGACTGCAACTGAAGAAACCCACCAAAACCATCCTCGAGGCCGCAGAGGGGGATCCTTGGAGCAATAGGCCACTTGGACACAAGCTGGGGACTGATCAACCTCAGCTGGGTCGCCCGGGTGAGGGTGTATGAAGATTAAAGACCCGAAACACCCTATGACCCCGGGTTCTTTACTGATGACGTGTCCAAGTAGCAATGGAAGGTGTATTCAAATTCTCTGAGTTTAGATTAATTTCAAATATGGTCAGATACATGTCTTAAACCTTTATCTGCCCCAAGACATATTTTTCCAAGATGCTCCCTTCCATAAGCAAATATGTTAATATTACTAAAACATTTAAAAGAAAGCTAATCGCTCTTTTATCAAGTTTATCGTATTTGCAAGATTGGTTAATTCATATTTTAACAATGGCGTCACGTTTCCACACAGACCAAGGTAAGTTTGGATAGTTTTGTTCCCTTAATAAATGAAATCCTAGCGTTTGTAGGTGTTTGGTATTTACACAGTTGTCTAATTTTGAAATGTGTTTTGTGATCTGTAATGTGACAAAATTAACAAAAATAATATTAAAAGAACATAACACTACAACATGACTGTAAAGACCAACAAGTGCTATAGTATAGGGATCTTACTTTACAGATGCATAGTTTTATATAACAAAAGAGGATATTTCTATAAACAAGCAGAATCATTTCAAAATAAAACAAAGACGCTGTGATCTTCACAAAGCAGCCTGGTTGCTCTCCCATATCTCATCATCATACATGTTGGAGGCAGACATGTTTTTATCTGAGGAGGTGGTCATCTCGTCGCCGTTCTGGACCAAATCTGCAGCAGCTGCATCAGAACTCCCTTCAGAGTCTAAAGGAGGCTCACCGCATGGATCAGACAGGCCGTTACTCATCAAACTCTCATCCTGTCTTGTTCCTTCTCTTTGCAGATCTCCACATTCTGGTGCGACTCCACCAACAGAACAGCTGATGTTCTCAGGTTCGTCTGCTGGACTCGGGTTATTGTGGACAGTTCTGGTGGCCGACATGTCTTCAGTCTGCTGGTTCTTATGTTCGCTCTCCAGTCCAAAGAAGTTGTTGTGGACAACATAGCGTACACACTGGAGGAGGACATTCCTCTCGTGGCGGATGTCTGGAGCTAGTAGCTGAAAAGGAGAACTACATTAAAACCAGACATCAGTCATGTCTACATGTCTGTGTCATGTAGACTCGTACCATTTCTAGTAAAGTGGGACGACGTTTCTGAGGCGTATCTTGGTGTCTTCTTCCTCTACCACGGTGACCTCTCCTGTTTTTGACTGTGTTAGGACCAGAGTAGAAGTGAGGAGCTTGATCCGTCTCTGTAGAGGTTTCCAGACCTCTAGAAGGCCCTGTGTACCCAGAGGTGGGCTGGATTCTGTTTAGGATGGTCTTGTTTTCCTGAACTAGGTCTCTGGCTCTCTGAATGGGAACAGCTATGACACAAAGAGACAAGCTTATTATTGGGAAAACACATTCAACAAGTCCAAACCAGGGTTGTGTATTGGTAGGAATCTGGCGATACGATAAACATCACCACACCAGGCAGACGATGCACCTCTTGTGCGTCTATTGTTGACTTTCAGGGGACCCCGTCACCTTCAGCTCCCACGTAATTCGAACCCTGGCTTCAGTTATGGCACTTACACACAAGCATCGGCTCCACTCCGCCTGGACCGGGTTGGGAATGTTGTGGATTTTCCCGCATGCAACCGGATGTCTTTGCAGCCCTATTCCCAAGGTGGTCGGCCTGGAGCTGAACTGGTCCAATATGCCCACTGCCGACTGATTGGCCAGCTCAAAATCGTACCATTTAGGGGAGCCTCGGATTGGCAGATGTAATCAGCCAGCAGGGGATTCCCGCATTCTGGATGCTGTGGAGTTAACAAGCCTCTGACTGAAGCCATTTTTCTGTATCTCATTGCTGTGAGGAGGTACACACACACACACAGCAAAGCAGGACGTAGTATCAGAGTCTCCAAAAGCAAGACTGCTCAGGCTGCCTTTGTTTAATAATGGATACACCACAGACTTCGCCACGATCTTTTGCACCTGCGGCAACTTTGGAGACCGCCCATGTTCTCAATCACATTCGCATTCCTAAGGCAGTGTGGAACAAACGTGGCCAGACTGGGGCGGGTTACGCAGAGTGGAGCCAATGCTAGTGCGCAAGTGGCATTAAAGATCTCTCAGAGCTTCTGTGTTAACGGGTTGTGCACACATCTATGAGAAGAACCGTTGAAGAGGTCACGACTTGGATTTTATGGCGCCTAAAAAGGGTTTTCTTTGCATTCTGGGTAAACATAAAGCAGTGTTACGCATCCTAATGGCCAAACATAGGTTTGTTCACCACCTTCTGGTTCCTCATCCTCTTCACTCATGGAACCGTAGTTAGCCATCAAGGCGCCGAGAGCTGAGCTCATCTGTTTAGGAGGCACAACCAGAACCGGTCTGGACTCTGGAGCCTCTTTGTCTGAATCTGGGAGCACAAAGCAAAGAAATCTGGTTTTTGCCTCCAATTTGTAGGAAACGTTCCAGACTGGAGAACACTCACCATGATCACCGTGTGCCAGTACACCCAATGGATCTTCACCTCTGGGACAATGGATGGGGGGTCTGGGAGACTCGGAGGACCTGCTTTCAACTGGAGGGCCTTGTGGGCGTCGCCCTCTGAACCCTCTGTTTCCCCTCCCACGACCTCTTCCTCTGCCTCTGCCCCTCATTTGTCTGTCAAACAAAAATCTGAATAGTTCTACTGGTTTTAACCTTGTGTCCCATCTCCTACATGCTCTGGAGTCTGGATGGGGATAGTTCCTCGCTGGTCAACAGTCCAAATGTTCTCACACATACCCAAACTGAGCCGTTTCAAGAACCCCTCCAGTCTGCTGCCGCACCTCCATGATCTTTTTCTTCTTCTCGATGTTCTGAAGTGTTGGATAGTTTCTGTAAAATCCAATTAAACGATGCTAATGAACACCAGTTAAACCCAAAGAACCCTTCACCGCGGGTGTCCGATCACGTAAACAAGGCTCACTTGCGTCTCTCCTCTCTCCACTTGGAGATCTCCTCAGGTGTGTCCAGTTTGATTCTTTTAGCTCCAGGTGCATGGTTCTGTTAGGGGGTAGTACTCACACATATTAGAAAAAGGAAATTACAAGTTTTGTGTACAGAATGAGCTGTACTTACATTTTTCCAGTGTATGGAGACTAGCTTTTCATGAGCCATGAAGCTACAGTCGGATACAGAACACTGACGTGACATTAAATAGAAACATGTTGAATAGATTTTTTAAAAAAACAACACCAAATGATAGAAAACTGAATTAATGAAATACCTTGACGTGTTGAGACACGTGTTCATTGTACAATTGCAGGTTTTTGAAGCCCCGATCACACGTGTCACAGTAATGAGAATACTCAGGTTCTTTCTTATTCTTCTGCTGAAGATCAAGTTAAGATCGGATCATTTTACTCCAATAGATACACTAAATATGAATCACTAAATATGAATCACTAAATATGAATCACTAAATATGAATCACTAAATATGAATCAAATGTGGCCAAACAATGCTCAAATGAGTCACCTTCTTCCCGTTTTGATGAGAAGGTCTGAAGTTTTGTCTCCCACCTGGACGTCCACCTTGATACCACTGCTGTCCAACGTTCTGATCTGAACACAGAAAGTGCAACTTCTTTTTTAAATAAAAGTGATCTCCACTAGCTTGTGACTTCTAATCCTAAGATAGTCTTGCGATTTAAAAAGTTAATGCAAGTAAAGATGGCTGAACGAGGACTAAACACACTGGTTGTGCATCACACAACAAAATGTACCCCAGTAATGCTTTCATACAAGCAGAGTTGTTTTCGTTAAGGAAAACGATGATGAATTGATTTCGTTGACACCAAGCCCCACAATGCGGCTCTAAAATTGGTCTCAACCCGGAAGTACCAAAAATTGCAGTTCCACCCTCATCCGCTGGGGGCTGAGCAAATCCTCATTGACTCCCATGTTAAAAATACCAATTTCACAGCAGAAATAAACATGTTTATAGCCTGGCACCAAAACAGACAAATTATATCAGTCTGGGGATTATTGTTTTACCAAATCTGGGGCAGCTGAGATTGTGTCCCAAAGCCATAAAATAAATTGTTGGTATGAAACTCTCTCCTGTAGCTCAGAGTACATGTCTGTCTGATCTATAAATTGATTTGTTAGAGAATAATACTTGTAAATATCAAAACAAAAATCTTAGTGGACTAAAACTGACTAAGACTAAAATGTATTTTTGTCATCAAGACAAAGAGATGCCCGCCAAAAACAACACTGCCTACAAGTTTCCATTTCTAAACATCAAAGCTCCTGAGACAACACACCTTGTGTTCACCAACTCCTTGTTTGGACCTTGAGGCTTCCGTAGAAGCTCTTCTATGCTTTTATAGCAGCGCTGTCTGTTTATGTTGCGATCATGTGACTGATTGATTAAAACTGGATTTCTTCTAATGATGCACCGATGTGAAATTTTTGGGCCGTAAACAATATCCGATATTAAGATCACTGTTATGGGTGATAATCGATATTTGCCAGTACCGATAAACTGACATTATTGCTTCTAAAATCAGCAGATTTTGTATAGAATGAAAATTATTAAAGTTGAATTCATGTTATTATGTACACACATCACACACATTTATGGTTCTGAGTTGATTTCATTCACTCTTCACATGACTAAACAGACACACATCCCCCCCCCCCCCCCCCCCACCACCACCACCACCATCTGAAAAAGGCAAACAAATGGAGACGAGACGGAAAAAATATCGGTTGTTAATATCAGCCCAGGTTTATTTATCGAACTGATACCAATTTGTTAAAAAATGACTAACATCGGCCGATACCGATATAGATGCGGATATATTGTCCATCCCTAATTTCATCAGTTGTGCTAAAGTGGACCCTGGTCAAGTGTAATGACTGAAAGTTACAAAAATATGTATTTGACACATTTGTCATCCTAAATGGGCCTTTCAATTTTATGGCAGTAAACGAGACATCACAACGTTGGGATGTTGTCTCTCATTTATGACTTTGGCAAAATAATGTATAAGCATAACATCGGTTTTAGCACAAGTTCTGGCTGATCACAGCTTCAGTTTTGTGACATTATTAAGTTATTTATTTATTCCGTTTTGATAATACCCATGTTGTAGGTTTTGTATTTCATTGAGCCTAACAGGCCACTGCAATGTAGAGTCTACTGTGGGTAATTCTGGTCTCATAATTAGTCATCATAAACTCAAATCCGTCTGCAGTCTCTTTTAGATGTGATCTCTAGTATTTCCCAACACACAATCATGTTAGATCATCTGGAGTTCACTATACAATAATTGTGGTTTTGATTGATTTCCATAATCAAGCATTCCAAACACAAACATTGAGAGAGGTGTCCTCTTTTAGAAACATAATCACCAAAGGTCTCACAGTGTGGATGGGTCTGACCGTGGTACCCTCCCGCCTGTCCGTGACTCCAGTTCGGACTGACCCAGTAGCTCCAGCTGGGCTCGGACGGCGTCTCTCCCCAGCTCCACATGCTGGGGTGGAAGCTGCTGGCCCGAGGTTGCTGCTGCTCCTGGGGCGTGTGGAACGAGCTTGGAGGGGGACAGCTGAAGTCTGGTGGAGGGTAGCGTTCTGGTTCGTTCATAGCTCCAGCTCCGGTGCCTTACTCAACGTTACCAGCCAGAAAACGGTAAAAGTTAGCTCAAGGTATTAGTCCACGCGCTCGTGTTTTGCCAGAGTTCACGCGTTCGTCACTTCCGTGAAAAAAGTGTGTTGCGTTTTGGATGATCGGAATTTCCTTTTCAATTTCTCAGAACTGGGATTTACAAGTTATCCGGATTCCAACTGAAAATTAGATTTCCTACAAAAATATTTTAAAACAAATCTTCACACATCTGGAGTCACCTATGTGCTTTAAAATTAGCTACATAAAATGTCATTCTTATATTACGGGAGTTTGTTCTCTTTTATTCTCTACTTGTTTGTAATTCTCCTTTTATTACATTTTGTTCTTTAAGTAACATCACGTATTGTTTAATTATATTATCTGTTTTATTGATCAGTCACTTTAATGATGGAATCATTAATAATAATATCGTTTAAAAGTGCGTAAACAGTTAGTTTGGCGTTAAGTTTTACTATGAAAGCAACATACCGTGCTCATAACCTCTCGCGAGATTTGTTTGCGCGCATCTCTGGCGTTGCCAAATCAAATCCAGTTTGTGACATTTAATTAAAATGTATAAACTTTTTACTTTTTAACAAAATGAACATAACGATAATTTAAAAATAATAAGTAAAAAATACAATACGTGGTTTTACTATTTTGCTATGCGATCATAAAATAAAGGTGGTGGAATAAAAAGATGGAATTGAATTACATTTACTTTGTTAAAAGCTTTCAAGAACACACAAAACAACACAGTTGCATACATTTATTATAGTTACTGTGTATGGCGTTTTAAAATACATTTATTGTTTTTAGAGTTAGCTAAAACACAAAGGAAATACTGACGTTTGGGTGATTTTGGTTCAAATTAACGGATCTGGCAACCCGGAAGTTTCCCCCTGCAGCAGCTCCTCTGCACCGCGTGCGGTTTCCGAGCCTCACCATCGCGGTGACTGACCGAGACGAAAACTGTCAGCTCTCTGAAAAGAGAGCACTTTAATAAAACAGAGCAGTTTCAAACATGCTCGTTCTATTTGAAACCGCCGCTGGATATGCGATATTCAAAGTGAGTGTTTCATTCTGTCAGTTTACCGATTGAAGTGCGATATTTCGCTCGTATGTCTGTAGTTAGCCTCGATTAGCATCCTAATGTCACACATAAATTTGCCCTTAAGTAACAAGTTGGTGTTATTAGGGGAAATAAAACAACCGAGCTCTAAACGTGTCTGTGTGGGCTTGAATATGGCACCGTGTGCTTTCCTATCTCACGTGCACGTCTTCGTTTCTAAACTCAAATGCTAACATGAGTTAGCATGCTGTTAGGGGCCTGTGACCACGTGCGCTCCTGGAAGCTGGCTGAGTTTGATCTCAAACACAACAGAGAATGTAGTACACTCGCTCAATAAAAGGATCATTAATACGGTCAGGTTATTGTAGAGTCGTTCCTTCTAAATGCACTTAAAGTGTGTTTGTGTGTTTGTGCTAGCAAAGTATCAAGAGCAATGTTGCCCATGTGGCTGTTTTTTTCGTTCAAGTCTATAAAAGACAGTTTGGCTCGGTGCAACACTTGCCATGCACAAGTTCCCTAGCTTCCAGCATACAGACGCTTTTATTGTCTGGTTGCTCAAGTTTATTTGTTTTTAGGTCCTAAATGAATCAAAGCTGCAGCAGGTGGACAGCCTGTACAAGGAGTTTGAGACTCCTGAAAAAGCCAACAAAATGTGAGTATGAACACGTCTCAGTACCCTCAGCTCAACACCTCACTCTGGGGGCTTACATCTGTTTTTCCTCCATCAGTGTGAAACTGAAACACTTTGAGAAGTTTCAGGACACGACGGAGGCACTGGCAGGTAAAAACACTCTGTTGTGTCTATGTTGGTGGTCTGTGATGGATTTCAGTGTCTGATAAAAGCATGAGGTTATCCACAGCAATCGTCACTACCACTGAGACCACCCTGTCCCTTCAGCCAGTAGATAAGAGAAGATGTCCAGGATAGGAGCAGGGATTATTAAAGTGTGCTTATCTAGGTTTAATCAGTTGTTTCTGGCCTCTGCTGTGAAGCTGCCACCGCTCTGGTTGAGGGAAAAATCAGCAAAAGTTTGAAGAAGATCCTGAAGAAAGTCGTGGCCAAGGAGGCTCATGAGGAGCTAGCCATCAGCGATGCTAAACTGGGTGGAGTTATTAAAGTGAGTTTCATCCTTCTGCAGACGTCAGAAGATCTGTCTGTTAAAGATTTTCTGATCAAGTTTGTGTTCTTAGGACAAGCTGGACCTGAACTGCGTCTACAGCCCCGCAGTAGCCGAGCTGATGAGATGCATCAGGAGCCAGATGGAGAGTCTGATCTCTGGACTTCCTCCCAGAGAGATGAGCGCCATGTCTCTGGGCTTGGCTCACAGGTCAGGGTCACCCCGGGGTTATACTACAGCTGCTGCTGCTGCCTGTGATTACACATTGCTGTCTGAGATCTTCATGTAGATGTTCCCATCAGCATTCGTCACTACCACTGAGGCTGCTCCTGTTTATCGCCTGGTCTGTTGTTTATCAGCTAACACCCTCTCCTGTTGCAGTTTGTCCCGCTACAAGCTGAAGTTCAGCCCGGACAAAGTGGACACGATGATCGTTCAGGCCATTTGTGAGTGTTTCGCTGATGAAGCATCGTGTTGTTTTCATACAATATTAGTGATAATGACCCCTGAATGCAGCATTAGCTGGTTAGGGTTAGACATTAGCGGGCTAAATCTACAGAAACCTGTAGAAAGTAACTATTTTATTTCAGAAATTTCTTTTTTTTAGGATTTGATTGAATGTTCTCCCCTGTGAGGTGGATTAGTAATATTTCAGCCATTCTATAAAAAATCTGAATTTAAGAAATATCAAACTGTCAGTTCAGCCGAATGTTCATTTATTTTAAATAGAAAGATTTAAGTTAGTCAGATGATTAATATATAAATATTTATGAAGAAATTTAGTCTTTTGTCAGGATTTAACATAATGTCAGAGCACCCTTGATAATAATGGTTATTGATCTTATAAATATTATAAGAGGAAACTAAACTGACGTGATAAAAGCTTAAATCAGAAGTTCCTGGATACTTGGTTAGGCTGAACCTCACCTCCAGTGACCCCACAGAAGAAGCTAGTAGCAGCATCGCCGGGCCGTGTGGGTTCAGACATCTTGAAAAATTGAGGAAAGCCCAGTTTGTGTCCCTGGTGTCCTTTTCTGTGATCCTGGCTGTCTTTGTCCACAATAACCGGAGCTTGGGTGTTTTTGTCCTCAGCCCTCCTGGACGACCTGGACAAGGAGCTTAATAACTACATCATGCGCTGCAGAGAGTGGTACGGCTGGCACTTCCCCGAGCTGGGGAAGGTCGTCACGGACAACCTAGCTTACTGCAAAACCGTCCTCAAAGTCGGTAAGGTTCGTTGTTTAAGTAACACCTGGGCTGATGTGAAAAAGAGACGACAGCTTTTGTTTTAATTATCAAAACCCATAAAGGAAGGGCAATTATTTACCTTTTTACTATGAAGTGTCTTACTGATTGGACGGTCGTCTTGTCCGCCCCAGGTGATCGTACAAACGTGTCCAGCACCGATCTGTCAGAAATCCTCCCTGAGGAGATCGAGGCTGAGGTGAAGCTAGCTGCTGAGATCTCCATGGGAACAGAAGTATCCGAACAGGACATCGACAACATCCGGCACCTGTGTGATCAGGTACAGCTTTGTCGGGGTAAAGGTCAAAGGGCATCAGGGGTCATGGTGTCTGTGGTGATGATGAGGACATCTGTCTTTATCCTGAAAACTTGGTGTGGGTTTCTAGTCACTACCTCTTCTGAACAGTCACATGACTTCCTCTTTGGGGGGGGCGGTTCCCTTCTGCTGGATCTGAGGTGTTTTGTGTTTTTCTACAGGTGATTGAGATTTCAGAGTACCGCGCTCAACTCTATGACTACTTGAAAAACAGGATGATGGCGATCGCCCCCAACCTGACGGTGATGGTAGGAGAGCTGGTGGGGGCTCGGCTCATCTCACATGCCGGTACGTATCAGACAACGGCACCAAGGCACCACTGAGCTGTGATGATGAAGACTTTACGTCACTGTCCTGAGTCAGGCTGATGGTTTTAAGTCACTACCTCATCTGAGCTGTCATTAGGGGGTCGTGTGCGTGTGTGTGCGTGTTTGTGTGTGTGCGTCTCTGACTTTTTGTATTTCCTTTAGGGTCACTCCTGAATCTGGCTAAGCACCCGGCCTCCACGGTCCAGATCCTCGGAGCAGAGAAGGCTCTGTTCAGAGCGCTGAAGACCCGTAAGGACACACCCAAGTACGGTCTGATTTACCACGCCTCCTTAGTGGGTCAGACCACGGCCAAGAACAAAGGAAAGGTCGGTTCAGGATGAGAGGACAATGACGACATGACAAAAGAGTCAACTTTAAACTAATATGGTGGTTCCTGCAGATTTCCAGAATGTTAGCGGCTAAAGCGGCGCTAGCTATTCGCTATGACGCTCTAGGAGAAGACACCAACGCAGAAATGGGAGCAGAGAACCGAGCCAAGCTGGAGGCTCGGCTGCGCCACCTAGAGGATAAAGGAGTGAGTACAATATAAACAACAGGAGCTCTGCTTTAGGCTCGCCGGTTAGGATGGCAAGAAGATCGATGTCAGCTATGATTATTTATGTTTCATACCAGCCAATCACAGGTTGTAAAGAATTACGCCGCAGTTTTATCACCAAGCACAGGACATTACTTGTTTGTCAGCGAAGGCAGACTTTTTTTTTTTACCATCAAACCTGTTTAGTATAGGAAACAAAGTTATAATAAAATTCAGACACCAAATAGTTAAACTCAACCTGACTGGTCATCACGACGTAAACAACGGCAAGAGTTTACAAAGCAGAATGTGCCCACATAACTACGTTTACATACAGTTTTTGTAATTAACTGGAGTCAAAATTAGAAACGTTACTAAAAGCACAGCCTCTGAACACAACTCTATATCTGGGACATTAATTCATTCACAGCAGGAGGAAACCAAACAGCCGATGAAAGAATAATTTAAAAGAAATGTTTACAAGACATTAATCTTCTAACTCTCAGTGAAAGAACGTAAAATCAGCTGTTTTCTCCCCGTGTTTATAGTGACTACAGGTCTAGATGTAAAAATAAATCTAAAATGTGATGTTTTGTTCTTCTGAGATGTAAACTTTATACTTGTTTAATGTTTTATTGTTATTAAAATTTCTGTCTGTAAATTTAAAAATGTTTGTTTTAATGTGAACGAAGGCCTACTGATCTAAATAAGTGTTAAAATGCGCCCTCCTGATTGGCTCTTTTTCAACATCCTGTTTGAATCCTGCCCTCTGGTGGAGGATATAAGAACTGCACCTTTAGGAAAATTCTGTTTTACTATCAAAAAACTTTACTGTTGTTGTTATCCAACAAACTGTTAAAAATACATTATTCTATTATTAAGTAAAACGCTTTAAATTATTTTATTTTAAACAAAACAGTTCAAACACATTTTCTCCTGCCCAGATTTTAGATCGGGTGTCATCTTGATGCTAATGTATAATCCTCCGTTTCAGATCAGGAGAATCAGTGGAACGGGCAAAGCGATGGCCAGGGCAGATAAATATCAGCATAAGAGGTGAAGAGTCGCTCCTGTCTGCTTTATAAAGATGCTGCTTTTAACCACAGCAGCAATGAAGGCATTAATCTGGCTTTTATTCCTGTTTCTCCCAGTGAAGTGAGGATTTATGACCCCTCTGGGGACTCGACCATCCCGTCCACCTCCAAGAAGAGGAAGATTGAGGAGGTAGAGGAGGAGACCCCGGAGCCCGTAACACCAGTGGTTAAAGCCAAAAAAATCAGAAAGGAGCCAGAAACAGAAGGTGAGTCAGTTACTGGATCACCTCCACTTCCTGTTGGGAGTCGTAATACTCAGCCCGTCTGTTTTTGTTTGAAAAGAAACTGAAACGGCAGCAGAAGCCGCAGAGCCACCCAAGAAAAAGAAGAAGAAGAAAGACAAAAGTGCAGCAGAACTGGAGGAGCCAAAGGAGGAGGAGGAGGAGGTAGCAGTCAGTGAGGTGAGCCTCTGACTTGTATGATCAACAATAACACGTTCACCACTTAATTTCTGTCTGTCGTCACTTTTTTTTTTATTTAAAAATTCTCTTTTCCAACTTTTTTCTGATTATATATTAAATCATTTTTTATTTTTTGTTCATGCTCATTATCTAGAGAGGTGTTGCATAAAAAATAGTTTCTTCATCATGTGATCATAACGGGTGACTTTATTATCCAGACCACAGGGAAGAAGAAGAAGAAGAAGAAAGACAAGAGCGTAAGAGAACTGCAGGAGCCAAAGGAGGAGCCAAAGGAGGAGGAGGAGGAGGTAGCTGTCGGCGAGGTGAGCCTCACACACGTATGATCAATAAAACGTTCACCGTCATGTTATCCTAACGGGTGGCTTTTTATCATCCAGACCTCAGAAAAGAAGAAGAAGAAGAAAAAGAAGGTGAAAGAAGCGGAAGACGAGTGAAGAGATGAAACTATGTAAATATTTTTTGTTTATTATTTTATTATTTTTGTCCCAAATGTTTACCTGTAGAGGAAAAGTCTGTTTCCTGCCACGATGAACAGCAGAGTCATCTTTTTATCCAACAACCTCTGGAAAGCCAAGAGCCAATGTGTTTTATTTTTAAAAACTGAATCTGTGCCTTGATGGAATAAACCGATTTTCCTGCTGTAACTGTGTCTTTTTCTGCTTAATAAGCTTCAAACAACTGATAAATGAAGTTAGAATTATACTAAATGTTTTTATTTGCTTAAATTATTCAGTTTGCACTAAAACATAAAGATTTAAGTGGGTGGGACGAGTTAAACTTCTCACCTTTTAAAGAGCAAGTCACCCCCAAATCAACTATTTTTCCTGATAAACTATATAAATGTGTGTCTAATCGTGCTGCAGACACGTGTAGTCAATAGTTTTGCACTTAAGTGCATTTTAGTTACAATTTAAATTTTCTGCCTAAAACTGTCAGTGTTGTGCCGTTGTCAGGTAAAAACTCTGCACTGGATTTGAATTTAAATCTGCCATCGCTATTGGCTAAGAGGTATGCTATGATGTAAACTGGTACATTATGATGTCACAATGTCGTGAGTGTGTGTATTTGTTAGTGGCTCCACCCTCTCGGTCTGCTAGGCAACAGCATTTGTTGCATTTTTCAAACATGAAGTGGGAGTGAAGTACGCTTCTTGTAAGGGGTGACTTGCTCTTTAACCAGGGCTCAAGCAGACTGGGAACTAACAGGAGTTCCTTCAGTTTTTTAGGTGGGTCCAAATGTTTAGGTTTGAATTTAAAGAATAATGTGAAGAAGTGAAACCTGCTGTGCTCCTAAATGACTTGTTTTAGTTTTTTTTACTGTAGCCTGAGTATATTTAATACAATTGTTTGTGGTTTCCGGAGCTCAATGCCTCAAAGAAAAATACTTCAGGGCAATACTTTTACTTAATTACACTCCATCACTGCTCTTTTCTACTATATATAAATAAATTCACAAGCGTTGGTTCCGCATTAGGTGTAATCGTCACTTTTTACTTTATAATGCCTTCAGCAAGAGAGGGCCAAGTGCCCCCCAGAACCACCCCTGTTTCAACTTGTGTAAGTATTATTTAAAATGACAAACCTGTAATCTAACACAAGTTTAAAGGCAGGCAAAACATTAAGCATCATATTGGGGCAGCAGAGCGGGTTTCCCAGCGATCGGAGGATTGTGGCATCGACCCCAGCTTCGCCGGGGTACTCTGCTGTTGTGTCCTTGGGCAGGACGCCTCACCCGACTTGCCTGTCTTGGTGGCAGGAGGGCAGATGGCACCACCCCAGGGCGGCAGCAGCTCACCATCACCAGAAATGTGAATTATGGAAAGCGCTTTATAAATCTAATCCATTACTTTTAAACTGACTTCATGCCTCACACTCACTCCACTCATTAAAGTAGTGTTGACCATGTTGACCCCTCCTGAGTTGTTCCAGGATGGAAGAATGATCCATGGAGTGCTACCAGAGCAGGGGCTTCCCAGTCTATCTTCAATAAATTCTAGAGTACCCAACTCTTCACAGAGCATCTCATATCCTGCACTTCCCTTCTCCAGCTCCAGTTTCCCCTGACCAGTGTTTTTACCTCTGTCGCCCTCCACAGTGACCACCTTGTGGCATTCACCTTTAATCTAAATTCATTAAATAAATCTGTTCTAATTATTTTTTTTAAGAGAAATTGCCTGATGTGACCAAATATGGTCCTACCTGTGGAATGGAAGTCTAACAGGTCATGTGCAGCAAATTTATGTTGCAAACATCAGTTTAGTTGGTTCTTAAGTAAAACTGAAGCTAGAACCTAAACCGGGTATTTAAATAACTTATTAATAGATACTGTACTAGAGAACTCCATAAGTAAATATCCGTGCTTAATAGATCTACGTATTTTACAGTAGCTATATCATATTTTTGTTAAATGAGGCTGAATATAAATTTCTTCTACAATAAGCAGCAAATTTTTTTAAAATAAAAATAAAGAGTAGAATCAAGGCTTATTCTTTAATCTAGAGTCTAAAAAACAATGACAGTTCACATAAATTTATAATAAACCGCGTAAATATACAAACCAACAAAAATGATCTAAAGGTTTTGCAGGTCGCGTTTTTTCATCGTGATTTCAATGGATTTCACACATGGGGCCTTTAAGAGGTTTGCAGACCTGTTTTTCCCAACTTAATAGAGCTTTGAGTTCGGTTTTCCAGAAATACTTTATGAAGGAATCATGCGTCATAGAAACGTAGAAAATACTGAATCTTTAGTTTATTGTGAACAAACAGCCAGGCAGTACTAGATGCGCACTGATCCAGAGAACCCGGCACCGACTGTATCTGTGTTTGACTTTTTTAGCCTTCCTCTACACCACATGGCCACAGTGTCCTGACTTGGATGTTGTTACAGATCTACAGATATTAGCTGATTTTCTTTACTTTTAATCTGCTCAGAAAACTCGCAGACAGTAGGAATGTCTCAGTTACAGGCGAGGTTTTTTACGGAGGACAAAAGGTGAGTTTAATTCTGGGGTAGTGCGGTAAAAGCGGACAGGCTAGCTAAATAGTTAGCATCTATTTTCTCTAAACGTGTGTTAAATTTGTATTCAGGGTTTAATTTTCTGAGTTTGAGCTTCTTATCAATGTGCGTAACGTTTTCAACTTCCTACTGGCCTCGTGAGCAACCGATTAGAGGGCTTTTAGTGTGTTTTAGCTCCTTTAATGTTAATAATATGAAGTTTGGGTTTAATCGTTGATAAAGGTCAACCTGTCTCCTGGTTGGGTTAACGTTTTGTTGGGCCTTGATTTGTTTGCAGGTTTGTTGTAGATGATGTCCCGTTCTCCATCCCAGCTGCCTCTGAGGTGCAGGACCTTAGTAACCTGATCAACAAGCTGCTGGAGACCAAACATGGTACACACCATAACACACACAATAAACATAGTACACACAGCCTCATACACACTATAGAAATGGCACACACCATAACACACTATAAACGTCGTGCACACACCCTAAAACACACTATAGAGAGGGTACACACACCATACCTTCTCAGTGGCCTAATGGTAGAATGTCTGCCCTGGGACTGGCAGATCAGTTTTCAAATCCTTGTTGGGCCACACTAAAGACAAACAAATGTGACCCAGTGCCTCCCTGCTTGATACTCAGCTTTAAAGGGTTGGATTGGAGGGTTAACGCACCAAATAGTTCCCGAGCACAACCACTGCTGCAGCTCGCCGCTCCCCACAGGGCTGAGTCACATGTGGAGATGTAATTTCACCGGTGTGTGATGATGACTGAGGGGACTTTATAATACATCTTTAACATGGTAGACACCATAACACACCACTAGCACGTTACCCCCTAATACACACCATAAACACAAGTAACATGTTGCTAAACTACATAAAATGTCGACTGTAAAAAAAAAAAAAACTACTCATAACAGCTTAGTTTGGAGTTTAAACTATTACACATAATATGATTTATAAACGGTTATCATTCTTGTTTTATTTTTTACTTCAGTTGTTTATTTATTTATTTATTTAGCAGAATCTCACAGCAAGGTGGAGTTTGACTTCCTGGTCAAAGGTCAGTTCCTGCGAACGCCACTGTCGTCTCACATGGAGGCAGAGGGTGTATCTACGGTACGACCTCATCACCTGCCACAGAGACCAAAGCTGTCAGTATGAGTCTGACATCTGAGCTTCATCTGCGTGTATGGTTGTGTGTTTTAGGAGGACGTGGTGGAGATTGAGTATGTGGAGCGGATCACAGCCCCTGAGCCTGAGGAGTGCATGATGCACGATGACTGGATCAGCTCAGTGGATGCAGACTCAGAATGGTAAGATGGAGACCAGACCTTCTGGTTTTCTGTAACTGTCCTGTGACTCGTCCCTGTGTCTCGTTCTACAGGATTCTAACGGGTTCCTATGATAAGACAGCCAGGATCTGGTCTGTGGAAGGGAAGCAGGTGATGACCGTAGCTGGACACTCAGATGTTGTTAAAGACATAGCCTGGGTCAAACGAGGTGAGCAGACTGGGACCTTGGATGTCCCTCTTTGTTATTATTAACTTTAATGTGGACTCTATGGATGTCCCAGATGGCCTGACGTCTCTGCTCCTGACGGCTTCTCTGGACCAGACTGTCCTGCTGTGGGAGTGGAACTCTGAGAGGAACAAAGTTAAAGCCCGCCACTGTTGTCGTGGACACACAGGAAGTGTCGACACAGTGTCCACAGACCCCTCTGGCTCTAAAGTAAAGCTTCAGGGAATAGAAAGTGTTCATAGATGAGTTTGGTTTGTGTCTGAGATTGTTTGTGTCCTTTTGCAGTTCTGCAGCGGCTCCTGGGACAAAATGTTGAAGATCTGGTCTGCAGGTGGGTGAGCGATGAGAACATTTAAGCTGGAAAACCTTACCTACAGCTATAAAATACATATCACCTGTGTACCAGAGACAATATCACACAGTGCAGGGAAAATGAGACATGGAATAAGTGAAATAATCGTAATAAATGTTGACAGGTATGATTCAGCAGCAAAATATTGAGACAATGTGCTGTACACACCTGCTCTGCCCGACCAGAAGGTTGATGAAGAAGTACTCTCCCTAGATGCTGAGAAGGTGTTTTCCCACTGTCACCTCTCCAGTTACAGTGGAGCCTTTGGCTGTTGCCACGAGGTTGAGCCCAGGTGTCAGGAGCATCTCACATCTGGGATCTACTGTTAAGTCTCTCTTTATACCGATGATAGGCTTTTATATTTCAAATCCTCTTTCTGGGATCTCCAAGCTGTTGGCTCTTCTTGGGACATTTGGTCAGATCTCAAGTTGTGAGGTTAACTCTTTTGGAGCAGCAGCTCTCTGGCCCCATTCCATTTAACATCGGCCCAGATAAATTTAACTATTTGGATTACGCATACATTTAAAGACCTTTTTGGGACTAGTTATGATCCTTTATTAGCTAATCTTGAGAAATATCCAGATGGGAATCTTTGTCCCTGTCCTGGGGAATAAGGACAAACATAAAGTTCCTTTATCTGTTCCAATGTCTCCCAATTTTTCTTTTTAAATTCTTTTTTTTTTCCGGACTATGTGGCACAACAGATGTTTATAAATGATGTGTGAAACAGAGTTTAGGAGTAAAGCTGGAAACATCAGCTAGAGCTGTGTGATTAAAGTGACAGTGTGTACCTTCCCTGGCAATAGGGGGCAGTACATACCTAAATCTTTGCAAGCAAGCAGTATTTTTGTGTTGAAGTAGGACTTTACTAACGGATGCCGATTAGGTTCAAAAAGCCATGGGGAGTGCAATTTTGAGCAAAATAACAAGCACATCAGATTCCCTTCCATCACTGGCAACAAGTGAAGAGATAAATGTGTAAAAGAACAACATTTAAGAACGGCGAAAGCTTTGTAACCATTTGTTACAAATCAGTAAATGCATTTTGTCTTCACAGGCTCCAGTAGAAGGAAACATGGCATCTAATATGGCGTCGCCCATAGACTTAGACCCGCTTCCATGTGTTTTAGACCTGATTTTTATGGATATTTGTTACGAAGCAGCCAGCTAGGACTTCATTTCTTTCATTTTCAACAACATTTTGATGGATATTTCTAGAAATGAATGGTAAAAACTACACATGGTCTCTTGAAGAAACACTAACTGCAGGACGGTGAGACAAGCTCGAGTTTTCCCTTCTAATCTTGTTTTTGTTTTAAATTCACCTGAGTGAGAGTGAAACTAGTTGAGAGATTTTAATGTTTTTATTGGACATTGGTCTCCTTTAATCCACCCCTGGCTCCTGATGAAATCTGTTAGTTTTTCTTTGACCCAGTAAAGAGTCGATGTAAAACCATAGAAAGTAGATTAACAAGAGAGATCAGAGTCACCATAATGAAATGATCCAGTGCTGATCAATTAACAATGTGGTGACGATCATGAGCCTGATCCAATGATTGATATTAGATTAAAACACATCTTCATAGATTCAGAATGACCTCTTCATGGCTGCTGTAGCGGAGTCAGATCAGCTGCTGAGGGGTTCAGTCTCACCTAAACTGTCATCGTTACTCACAGAAAGGGTTAAAGTTCCTGCTGTTGTTCCTCCAGTGCCCACAGATGAGGCTGATGAGGTCGAGGAGCCCGCTGACAGACCCAGGAAGAAACAGAAGACTCAGCAGCTGGGCCTGACTAGGGTAAGAACAGATCAGACTAAAATCTGAACGCCACGGTTCCAGCTATCAGCTAACAGAGTACCACCTCATCTCCCGCTCTTATAGACTCCCTTAATGACGTTATCTGGACACGGTGAGGCGGTGTCCTCTGTGCTGTGGTGTGACAACGAGGAGGTCTGCAGTGCATCGTGGGATCACACCATCAGAGTGTGGGATGTTGAGACCGGAGCCCTGAAGACCACGCTGGTGAGATTGAGAGGCAACACAGGAGTGGTTATTCTGGTTTTTACAGGATCTGCAGGAGGAGAAAAGGAAGTTTTATTCTTTCTGTGGATTTCGTCAGAAACCCCTGTAAAAGGTGGTTTAATCCATGTTTGTGTCTCCACAGACGGGCAGTAAAGTGTTTAACTGCATTTCCTACTCTCCTCTGTGTCGACGTCTGGCCTCAGGCAGCACAGACCGACACATCCGGCTCTGGGACCCTCGGACCAAAGGTGCCTGGACCAATGTCTGAAAAGCTGCCTGGTTCCTTCCTTATGTCCCCTTAAGTCTCACTTCTCATCTTCAGACGGGTCGCTGGTGTTGCTGTCTCTGACCTCACACACTGGTTGGGTCACCGCGGTCAAGTGGGCTCCGTCCAGCGAGCACCACCTCGTCTCCGGCTCTCTGGACAACCTGGTCAAACTCTGGGACACTAGGAGGTCAGTGAAGATGTTGTTTATACTCTAGAAAGCAATCTAAAGATGGATTTTAAGTCTTTACCCATCATTAAAGTAGGGAAAGTTTTTTTCCCCCAAATCTGTCAAGCATATGTGGTTCACTGTTACCATGGTTACCAGACTTAAGCAACTCTACTGATGCACAGAACAGGCTCCACCAGCAGGAGGCGCTCCTTCCTTGTTATTAGTGAACAGATTTAATAACAAATCCTAGTCACACATTTGTTTATTTATCAACCAGCTCATAAACTAAACTGTTAAATACAAATATCACAACACTGAAAAATCCCCCTCAAGTCCTCAGTAAGTACTTATGTTTTGCATTATTTATAAATCATTCCTTTAAACAATTTTTAACCAAAAATTATTTAATTTCTAAATAATATTTAACTCCTCTGAAATAAAAAACATAAAGGTGTTATTTCTGTCGACTCAAGTGTCCGTTATGTGTCAGCATTCATCGGTTATTCTGAAAACATATGGATTAAGTACACATTTCTGAACAGTGTCTGTCATAAATGGAACAGCCTCGGTATGGAGAAACAGGGATCAGTTCTCGTTAGTCAGACAAACTAACAACTAGCTCATGTTATACCAAAGCTAAAGTGGGTTTCTGCCTCAAAAATGACCTTAAATATTTTATAGTAGTTCATGTAATTGTTGCTTTGTAATTGCTTATATAAACAATAAAAATGTTTTGTCCACTAGTGCTGCTGATGGCTAGTTCCACGGCTAATTTCTGCTATAAAAAACAACATAATGTTAAATTTATAGCATTTATAAGTGCTGAAACAGTCGAGATTTAAAGTCTCTTTATCTTATCTGATGGCAGCATCTAGTGGCTGACAAGCATATCACACAAATAATTTCTCTCCATTTTTTTCAAGGTGGCGACTTCACGTTTCTAGTTTATAAATGTGCTTCTGTAGACTACAAACGGAGCTAAAACACGCTGTTTTACAAGTATTGTTCTCATGTCATGTTGTGTTCTCATATATTTATATTTTAAAGACTTTCTTGTCCATGAAAAGTTCACCAACTCTGCATCGGCCGAGGTATTCCTTAAATGTGAAGCATGTAAGGGGTAGTCTAACGCTATTGGTTAGTTCTGGTTGGCGCTTAGTTTCCCATTGCATGGAGCTCTGCGGGACAGGGGGCGTGCTTAATTATTCACAGTACATGATAAGATAATCACTTTTACGGATTTCTGAAAAATCATACATAATTTCTGAAAGGGAAAAACTCCAGAAAGATACTTTAAGTTCTTTAAAGATGCAAAATTCATCTGGGTCTCAACCTTGCAGCTAGCTGTTAGCTGGTCAATCAAGTGAGAGCTAATGCCCATTTCTCCTAACTGAGGTTGTTCTACAATATTCTTTCTGACATTTACACAAACAGACTTTTAAAACCTTTAATTTAATGATGAGTTCAGTGAGCAGCATCTTATATCTCGTCTTTGTGTCGCACAAACATGCAGACAGGCTTTGGTTTTTGTCCATTATAACTACTGTTGGTGCTGTTCCAGTGCGGAGCAGGACATCCTGCTCATTCCTCTGGTTTTAAAGTAAACATCCATCCAGGAGCAGCTTCCTGTCTGTCAGAATAAAGCTGGAGGCCTTTTGTTCATAGTCGTGCCTAACTCTGTTAGCTTGTGGACTAAATGTTGTCTTTAACTCCGTCTGCAGCTGTAAGGCTCCTCTGTACGACCTGGCAGCTCACGGGGACAAAGTGTTTTGTGTGGACTGGACAGAAAGTGGAGTAAGACCCGTTCTGTCTTCAGATTTGAATTCTGATGTTTGTGTTTCACACAGCACATAAACAGTTGTGTGTGTGTGTGTGTGTGTGTGTGTGTGTTCCAGCTGATGCTGAGCGGCGGTGCTGACAACAAGCTGTACACATACAGGTATTCAGCCTGTCAGACGGACGCGGGGGCGTAGGCACCGACTGCACAGCTCCAACTCCTCCATCACAAAAGTCAGGACTGAACAGACATGTTCTTCTACATCCTGGTTCTTTTGCCCCACATGGATCAATGACTTGTGTTGGTTTCCCTGAAACAAGAAAGGAGTCCTTTTCACATTTTATAATGATGGAGTTCTCACTGTTCCACCCTTATGAGATCATTTTTCATGGTCTTACTCAACATACTGGCTTTCCTAAGCACTCTCCTTGTTTTCATTTGAACTGTTTTCTTTATCCTGTTCAGTCTGACCTTTACATCGTTGTAAAAAGTAACTAATATTTTAAAAAACTATGTACAGACATGTTTTTCAGAAATACTTTTTCACAGATGTTCTCCTGAAGCCAGATTTTAACATTTGGTGTGAATTCTTAGCATTTCTAACAATCATTTGTGTATATATATAAATGCTAGACGTCCACTTATTGAGCCCAGACCGTCCCCCTAGTGGTTGTTTCCAAAACATGTCTTAAGCATCACCCACTTCACAAAAACACATTAAACAATTTCCTGATAAAGCAAATAAATATTCACCTCAGATTCATGTACCTTTTATAACCGTAGAGCAGGGAAGAGGGCGTGTCATGGTTTGGGGCTGCGCTTTGATACAATGTGGGATCCTAACAGAAAAGTCCTGTTAGCATAAAATAAATCAAAGGCAGTGAAAGGCATTCCGCCATCCATTTTCAGCCGCTTATCCGGAGCCGGGTCGCAGGGTCACCAGCCCAAGCAGAGAGGCCCAGAGCTGCCTCTCCCAGCCACTTGGGCCAGCTCCTTTGGGGGAATCTTAAGGTGTTCCCTGGTCAGCCATGAGACAGAGTCCCTCCAGCATGTCCTGAGTCTTCCTTTAGGTCTCCTCCCAGTTGGACGTGCCCAGAAAACCACCAGAGAGGGGTCCAGGAGGTATTCTAACTAGATGCCCGAGCCATCTCAACTGGCTCCTCTCGTTGTGGAGGAGCAGCGGGTCTACTCCAAGCCCCTCCCAGATGACCGAGCTTCTCACCCTATCTTTTATTTTTTAAATTGAGCAATAACATTGTAGTACAAAGATAAACATAAAGCACAGCCACGATGCTCCTATTTGTATAATAACCCCACCCCAAGAACATGTTGGACACCGATCCAGACTGGAGTAAAAGTATAAATAAATGAGTTAAGTGGATTTAGATGAAGTACACAAGTACACGTGAGGTAGTAAGTAGTAAACTATACATGTTTTGCATAAAATTGATCCTTTATACATTTTGAATATCTAGTATGATTTTACAAAATTATAGCTCAATTTTTAAAAAATGAACGTAAAAGATTTTAATTCTATTTAGCATCCAGAAAACAATTTTGACCATTTTCTGATGGTTGGTTTTGACTTTTAAAAACTTTTTTGTTTGTTATTTTTTTTAATAATTAATCGTGTATTAAATAAAAATGTAAGCACTGCTCGTTATGTGCATCAAACTGTTTATTTGTGGGTGACGTCAGCAGCGTCAGTGAAGACCGATGGTGAAGACTCTTCTTCTAACTGCTGAGCAGCGCCCCCTGGTGTCCGGACGGCGCTCTACAGCCGCTCTACATCCTGTTTCTGTGACTCAGAGAGGAGGATGGCTATCAGAGGTTAGCTGAGCCGCTCCGAGTAGATGCTGCTGCACGACACCTGAGATAAGGTAGAGGGTTACACACCTGGTTACATATCTGTGAAACGAGAGAAAAATGTAATGAAAGGGACGTCTTTATTCTAAAGTCGTCAACGGTTCGTTGTACGTTTCAACACCTGCTACTAGCTTGAGTCCTGCTAGCTACAGGAGCTGTTAAGTGTTTATTTTAACCTCTAGTCTTCTCTTTACTTAATATTATTTTATTTTACCCTCTCGTTTCTCCTTGTGTATCTTTATCGCAGCGAGCAGGTTCCCAGGTTTGTCTGAAACTGAACACCTGTTCGACACCAGCTGGTTCCAGTGGCAGGTGTTTGGTCCAGCCAGACCAGATTAGATCAGCTTCTTTAGCCTCTAGCATGGAGGAGTGTAGTTTAGTCTGTAACAACAGGGCTTGTAACCCAATTATAAACCTCTCTAGTCACTGATTGCCTCATTACCAGCAAAGAACATATGGTTTTGGATCTCAAAGCTTTGTTGATCACATACATATTGTTTCAGTGTTTGTGTCACAAGTCTGTTGGTTTTGTTTTGCTCCAGTAGCTTTAACGGCTGATACCAAGTGATGGACGGGTATGTACCTGTTGAATAAAACCCACACATGTCCACCTGTGCAGAAGCAGCTAACGGTCTCTCTTGGTTCCAGGTTTACGGGGGACATGCTGGGCGACAGCTCGGTGATGGCCCGCATGCAAAAGAAGTTCTGGAACACTAAGCAGGTCCTCATCAAGGCCACGGGCAAGAAGGAGGACGAGTATGTGGTGGCCTCCGATGCTGACCTGGATGCCAAGCTGGAGGTAGACGAAACCAGGCCTTAACTGGGACAGCTGTTACTTTAACCAATAAGTATCCAGCTCTGCTGCGGGTGCAGAAACGGAACAACTTTAAATATCCATAACCTGTCCCCTCTTTTTACATCACACAGAGGCTACAGCGAGCCCTGCTTTGTTGTCAGCATCATTATAAAATGTGAAAAATACACAGATTGTTTAGAAATGCCCAAATTTGTGCTGTTTTTAATCTCTCATCCCATAATCTGGTTTCAAACTTTCTAAAATACCAGCAGTGATGCACTGTTTTTATTTTATTCACTGTTTATGACATAAATAAATCTTTGCGTTTTAGACAGATGGAGCAACTGGAGAATGAGGCAAAGCAACTCAGTAAATCTCTGGTGTTTCTGTGAGACGTTGAGTTTCACTGTGAGCATTTTGTTCTCTCTGGAACTGGATCCCCCCTCCACCCCCAGGCTCACATTGATCTCTGGTGAAACAGAAAGTGGACAAAGTGTTCAGAGGAACCGCTCCTCCCTCCTGCATGAGCTTCTGTTCCATCTTCTGTTTCTGAACTCTAAATCAAACCAGCCTTTTTACAAAAACTTAATTAAATTTCACATTTTCAGACTGAATCATCAGATATGTTTCAGTGAAAAAGTTTGGGTTATTTGATTTGTTTATGAAAAACAAAAGTATCTTTAATGTTTTCAATTTTAGTCTCTGATCAAAAATAAGAAATGGGGGAAATGGACTGCAGAATTAATTTTTAAAAATGAATTTAATCTTAATATTTTATGGCTCAGGTTTATGTGGACAGGTGTCATGCCAATAGACTCAGGGAGGTGTCTTTTTGTCTCCAGCAGCAGTCGGAACTGACATATCGGACATCTGGAAACAAAACAGATGTGTTTAATTGTTAAAAACATGGTTTGTGGAGCGTTACAAGGTGCAATAAGTAAGAATTCTACAGAGTAATAATCACATGACAATCTAATGTCTCTAAGGCTATACTGAAACAAGTTTCATTTTTAGCTGACTGGTGGGTTGACAGGTTTTATCCTTTCAACAAACTAAAGAGGGACGTAGCTTTTGTTCACAGTCTGTTCTGCCTTCATAGTTCCTGGTTCCAGAGCCAATCATATGTGAGCCCTTAAAGTTGCCAAGTTTTCAATGCAAACGCAGCAGCACTTGCATTTGTAATTCAACACCGACAGGCAAAAAGCTCCAGAGTTGTTTAAAGACCCAAAGCCAGTAAACAGGAGCGACCCAGAAGTTTTTTCTTGTACCCCTAAGAAGCCACGGTATCATTTTTTCCCCCCTCTAATATCAGGTGAAGCAGACTTTTATGTTTTTTTTTTAAATTTACCTTTTATTTCGCTTAGCCAAGACAGCAGCTAAAAACAGGAAGTACAATATAAAAACATTAAGGACAGTTTAAAGGCACATCATTTCAGGGTGCTCGCCTGCAGAAAACCGTTAAGACAACTGGTAATTAAAAGATCTTTTAGCCTACCTTTGAACTGTGTCATCGTTGGTAAACGAGTTAATTGAAAATGATGCTGCAATTTAGACCAGGATGACATTGCAAAGAAACAATGAGCTAACGGTGCCAACAGTGAATTAGAAACAAATTTTCACCTCTAAAAATATCTGAAGCTACTTTTTCAATGACCAACAACTCAACATTACAGTGAAATATATTTTCCTAGTTTTCATCTTACCGTGTATGACTCATCTTTGCATGTTCTCTAGAATCTTCTGGTGCTGATCCAGAGCTGGCAACAGTTGCTTAGAGTGGACTTGTTTGTTTTGATACATGGACTGAAGTACCCAATTTTGACCACAGGATGTCATTATTACTCCATTCATCTTCAAAGTTTGCATAAATGGAGTTTATCCTCTTAATAATTTTTTTTTTTACTAAAGTAAAATTTAATTCTACATCTAATTAGTTGTAGTTGGAGCGTGTTTGTGTGTGTATGTGTGTGTCTTGACTCTTGGGAGGTTCGTTTTGGGTCCTTAGGGATGTTTTGACCTGTTGTCCATGGGGTTTTTACAGATGGTTGTTGGCACTGAGCTGCTGTTATTTTGAAGTTAAGAAGAAACCAAGAAAGCTAAAAACTGCCTAATTTTTCTGTAAAAACATGACACTATTTTAGCTAGCATGCTAAATTTTTATACAGTTCACAACAATAGGAATTGCGATAGAAAGGGTACCAAATATGGGCCAAAACCTGGTTGATGGTAAGGATGTAAGAAAATATCAAAATGGCAATATTTCATGATATTTTTTCCTACAAATTATATCAATATTTAAAAAATGTGTATCTAATTTTTGGAAGAATTTACATGCAAACAAGTGTGTATTTTCATTTATTTTGGTGCAATTCAAACGCCGACCGCTAGTTGGCAGCAGAGTGCAATGGGTTTTGTTTCCACCATTGAAATGTAAATTCCTCTATTATGGTTCAGATACCTCATGTTAAACTTGTTACATATCAGTTTGAACTGTTTTATTGAATTATACAATAAATTCAGTCTAAAAAAATCGCTAATAACGTCTGACTGAATGTATCGCAATATATCGTATCGCCATAATTTCACCAATGCACACCCCTAGTTTCTGTTGTGTCTGGGTGGTGGTGTAACATTTTCTGTGACTCTAGGAAAGCGGGTGCCTGAAGAATGAAGGTCAGACTTGATTACTTTTGTCCCTTGATGCTGCTCACATACATAGTTTATTAGATCACCATGAGGTGGTGAAGTGATCTGTGTTGTTGGTGTAGCAGAAGGTAGGAGTTAGTCTGTTTATTCGGTGGTTAATGAGTAACTCTGCACATGTGCAGCAGACATGATTTGATGCCTCACACCTCTAACGTTAGTCTTCAGCTGGAGACCAAATAGCGACTCAGGCGGGCAGGTTTAGTATCTGGTGCAGCCCCCTTCTCTGGTTTATTAGAACAGCAGCAGTAGAAGAGTTTACAGGAAGTCGTGTTTAACTTGCCGGTGTAAATTTATGATGGGCTGTAAGGGGAGCTGGCAGCACATTGAGTCACCACCTTCTGTTTGTTCTGTGCAGTTCTTTCGCTCGGTTCAGTCCACGTGTACCGAGCTGCTCAAAGTGATCGAGAAGTACCAGCACAGGATCACACGTGAGTCCGAGCTGCTCAGAGTAACCCACCAGATGCTGCAAGAACAAACCAGCTCCGTTTTATCTTCTCAGGGTTGTCCCAAGAGGAGAACGAGTTCGGCCTGTTCCTGCGTTTCCAGGCTGAACGCGACCGCACAAAGGCGGGAAACATGATGGATGCCACCAGCAAGGCTCTTTGTTCATCTGCCAAGCAGAGGTCAGCAGCTCAAATCAGGCTTGTGATCAAAGATCTACATGTTTTCTTTTGAACTCTTGACTAAATCTAATCCCACCAGGATGGCTCTTTGCCCTCCGCTGCAGCGCATGTACCAGGAGGTGGAGACGTTCCGACGGCGCGCCATCGCCGACACGCTCCTAACGGTCTCTCGCATGGAGAAGTCCCGCACAGAGTACAGAGGAGCACTGCTCTGGATGAAGGACATCTCTCAGGAACTGGACCCAGACACCTACAAGCAACTGGAAAAGTTCCGCAAGGCAGGAACAGGCGGGACAGCTTTGGTATCCTTCTGGTTTGAGAGCGTGGGTGTGAGACGCTGGTGTGTTTCTGTCGGCAGGTCCAGGCTCAGGTCAGAGGGACCAAGGGTCAGTTTGAGAAGCTGAAGAACGACGTGTGTCAGAAGGTGGACATGCTGGGAGCCAGCCGCTGCAACATGCTGTCTCATTCCCTCTGTACTTACCAGGTACACACCCAGACCAGTCTGGTGTCCAGTCACTGGTCAGCCATAGAGATCAGGAGCTGAGTGTAGCTCATTGTCCATGAAAGGGACTAAGTTAACATTTATCCATCCTTAATGAGGTAGACTCTAAACATGAGTCACATGTAGACAAACAGCTGACTACATTTTCTGAGGCATTTCATCAAAATCTGTAAGGATGTTCCTCTAATCACATTTTCTGTTATGTTCCACAGCTGTAGCAACGATTTTGACTAATAATGGCTTAAAAATGCTTTATTTAAAAGAAAACAAAATTTATTTATCTCTGTTAGCATTTTAGCACAAATGTACCCGTAGACCCTTTTTGAAGTTTTAAGGCATCTTTTAGCTAGCTTTAGCAGCAGCAGCAGCAGCAGCATGTGATTATAGACACGCATACATCTCTCCCTGCTTTTTAATGGTTGTTTCCTTTTGTCATGTCAGACCACTCTGCTGCAATACTGGGAGAAAACAGCCCAGGCCATGTCAGGAATCCACGAGACCTTCTTAGGACACATCCCATACCAGTTCACCACACTTAAGGTACCTCAGACTGCAGAGCATCCTGGCCTGGCTCCTGGAAGCTGAAGCTTTCCTACTAAATGTCTTTAAATGAAGTGAAGCAGCATTATCTACCTACAGGATCTGCGGGACCCCCTGGAGCTCATCTCTGACTCACAAAAACACAACGAGAAAGAGAAGAGCAACACAGACAGGTGAAAATGGTGATTTAACAGTGTAATGTCACCTAAAGCACCTGATTCAGGATATGTCTCTGCCTCATTGCCGTGGCTGTAATAAAACACACACCAGTTCCTGTTGTTCAGTTTTCTCTCATCAGCAGCTGTCATTAATATCTAACCAAAATCTGTTGTCATCCGCCATCCTTTTCTTCTCAGTCTGGTGTCGTTGGATGATGGTGAACCAGCAGGAGGTTCCTCTGGTGCAGGTATGTACTGCCCCCTGCTGGCAGAAATAAACAATTCAATTCAAAAATACTTTATTAATCCCAGAGGGAAATTGATTAACACTAATAAATTATTCACACAAAGAAAATAATGATGGAAAACATCCCATAATACCAATAAACTGTTTCTTACAACTCAATAACAAAAATCTGCAGCCAGCTGGAATGAACGTTTTATTCTTTACTGTATTAAAATGATGTCACAGGATGTCCCTTCAAAATAAGACATTTCTAATAAAAAAAGGTCCCTTTGCCCCTGAGCTTTTATGTTAATGAGGTCTAATTACCATAAATTCTAAAAGTTTGTGTAACTTTGTATCATTGACCCCCCCTCCACCCCCCCCCCCCCCCCCCACACACACACACACACACACACTTGTGATAGCCTAAACTTAAATGTGAGTCCTGTTAAGACAGGCTTATTGGTGATCAACTCTGATATTTTTTAACTATAAGGAAGAAAAACTTTGCTAAAATGAGCACAGATCATAATAAACAGTCAGTTTAAAATTACATAAACAACAAGACAATAACAAATGTATTAAAAACAAAAATCTATATAATCTAGTGTGCAGGGCGGCCTTGACGCTCTAACCGAGTCGAGGCACATCATAACGTTTCTGCTGTTTTCACATGAAGAGAACAAATGTGTTGTTTACTAACTTTGTGTAATTTCAAATAATAATACTAATTCTGTGGGATCAAAATAGAACAGCAATTTGTTATTAGCTGCCAGCGACACTCTCTGTATGCTAACCGGGGGATTAGTCCCTGTTGTTGCTGAGTAATTCTGCATTTGCTGTTGTGATTCTTAGTGATGGTGACAAATGTTTTTTTTTTACTAATAAATGATATTTGTGTCTGCAGGCCTGACGCAGAGCAGTGGAGGTCCCACCCAGGCCAGTGACATTGGTAAGACCCTGTAAGGGCGTGCTAGCTCGATAGCATCAACAGGTTTATTGTTACTGACTGTGAACGTCTCAATGCACCCAAACACCACCACAGCCACCTCAGCGCTGTGTGACCTCAGAGGCCTGTCCACAGACTCGGATGATGACTTGATGCTGATGGCCGAAGACGTTCCTCCCCTAACAAACTTCCCTGTCCTGCCCCTGCTGCTGCCCCCTCCTCAGGCTGGAGACCAGTATGAGCAGTGTAGCTCTGGCAGCTTCTCACACATCTCTGGTAAACCAGCTGGTTGTCCTCTCTCCTCAAACTCTGCTCTGGTCTCCGCTTCCTGTCTCACTCTGACCCAAACACTTGATTCTTCTTAACGCCTGCCTGGACGCTGTTTGTGGAAATCTCACTTCTGCTCAACACTTTCATGTGGCAATGTGTTTCCTTCTAATAATGTGAGATGGTTTCATGCCTTTTGTTTCCGTGTAAATGGGAAAGACGACAGGAACAGCTGAGAATGTGGTTTGCTCTATATATGAATCACGGACATTAAAGACTCCGAAAATAATATAAATCTGATTTTAAGCTTTCCATTCCACAGAAACCATGTAGAAATCATTTATTTTAGTTGAAAGACACCAAAATGAGCAATTCTTTTTTCAGATAAGATCATTAAAACACCAAGTTGATTAAAAATACAAGATGGTAGCACCTGTAAACAGATTCTTCACAGAAGAGGGCAGACATGCTTTATTTTGATAGTTAATGATGGTTGCTTGTGTCTAATACCAGGAACCACTGTTACCGTTTAGAGAGCTGGGTTAGCTTCTAATGGGTCTACCATAACTTGCTACTGAACTAAGTAAAAGCTTTGTTTAGAAGGTAGATCAGGTTCACAGTTGGAATCATCAAAACTAAGCTTCGTGTCTCCACCTACGTCTGCTGTTGAAAAGGGATACTATGCTATACTTTTTCATATTTCTAAATCGTTTTCTTGAGCCAGTATGTGCTAAAGTGGCCCTACAGGGTTAATGAAAGGCCACCCAGCCTCTATCGCCCCCTGTGGCCAGACAATTCCACATGCAACTTCTGAGTGGGACTCGGTTGGGACTTATAAAATGGAGCTGACATACCTGGCTCTACAGTCTTCTTCCAGCATGTTTTAGATCATGAACACAGCTGATTTCTTTAATTTAGTGATGAGCCACTCCTGTAGACACTAATGAAGGCTGGGGAGACATTTCAGCTGTTAGATATAGGTGTTAAAAAGATGAACACAGCGAGGAGATGGGTTTGGGTTTTGGTTCTACAAACGGACACTAGGGGGTGGTAAAAGCAAGCCAAAACTCCCTAGTTCCCCTTTTGAAAAGTCAAGCCATGTTGTCTCTATGGCAGTGGCCATGTTGTTTTAAACCCAGTCAGGATGTGGGCCTGAATCAACAAGAGCCATCACCTGGACGTTTTTAGTTTAGAGTCCCATTCATTTCTGTGGAGGGGGCGGGGCTTGAAACATGTACTGGAACCATCCACTAGTGGGACTTCTAGGACCTTGGATACATGCTTTTAAGTCTAGTTTTTATGCATAATCATAACACACACACACACACACACACACACACACACACACACACACACACACACACACACACACACACACACACACATAGTCATGTCTCTACAGGAGATAAATAACAAATAAAAATATGTGTTTATCATCATTGTTATCCTGGTTTCCTGACTTCATTCAGCTTCATCTTTCCTGGTTTTCTTCACTAACAATTCTCCTGGGATTCTGGGCTGACGTATATTAGATGATGTCTCCTGTCCTCCGTCCCCTCTAGATGCTAGCATGCTGTCGCAGGTTCGGCACCTCCCCTCAGAGGTGGGTCTGGAGGAGGACGGAGAACGCAGCGACATGGCCTTCCTCCAAGACCTCTTGAGTCCTGGTCCAGGAGGCAGCGACGAGTTCAGCAAAGAGTGGCAGGATGCCTTTGGCATGTTTGAGCCTCCCAGCGTTCCTGCTACTAGTAGCATTGGACCCGCAGCACGCCCCCCCTCTAACCCTCCCAGCCCCACAGGCTTCCTACCCTCTCAGCTGCTGGACCACAGTCTGAGCTCCACAGGTCTGCCGAGTCCATCAGATCTATCTCAGCGACAGAAACCTCCAGCAGGCTTTCACCTCTTCTCTTGATTTGGGTTTCAGGCTGGGTGACTCCACCGATGTTCCAAGCTCCGCCCCTGCAGCTCCCCGCCGGTCAGAACCAGGCAGCTACCCGGACTCCGGGTCCAGCTACCGGTACGAGCTCCTGTCCAATCACAAACCTGATCTAAGCCCAACAGTTGTAATGAAGCTGTGTGTGTTTTCAGCTGCCGCATCAGGAGGATCCAAAGACATGTCGGCGTGGTTCAACCTGTTTGCTGACCTGGACCCGCTCTCCAACCCCGACGCCATTGGACGCTCTGCAGATGAGCTGCTGAACGCCTGAGCGTCTCCTCTTTTGTCACAGGGATGATGCTCCTGTTAAAGATGCTGTAACAGACTAAACACTACTAACACACACATACACACGTACATCTGGGCTCGAAGAATGCTTGCTTCTGTCACTGTTGTGTATTTTTCTGTTTGGGCGTGTGTGCATTTTGTCACAAGTGACAATTTTTTAAACACGTTTATCTGAAGCTGAGAGTGGATCGGGTCCAGAAGCATAAACAACAAAATAAAACCTGATTCATCTCCGTTTCGCTAGCCGACGTGTGCATTTTGCTCTAGAACTGGTCCTGGACTCTGCACCTAGCTGCAGGCAGACACTAATAAATCGTCTGTAAAACTTTTAAGTCTCTGAAACAGAAACTTTGTCCTCCCCGTTGTGTGTGTCTACTGAGATCATTAAAACCAAACACCCACCCTCTCATTGTCATTAACTGTATAAACGCTGTTTAAAGCACAAATCTGACATTTTGGACGTGCAGTGAATGCAGCATTAGAAGCTGAGGATGAGCTGCACTGCTGCTAATGGGATGTTTCAGATGGTTTCAAATGACTTGTGTGTAAAATCTGAAATGAAGCCATTTGGGTAGAGTCCTGAACAGCCTCAGTTCGGAGAAACAGCTTTTACATCTTTCGGGAATGATAAGCTAAGGGCTAGTGAAGGCTAGTGAGAATGCATACCTGGCAAAAGAGGATTTTTTTTTTTTGTGGTTTAAAACGTCTCCAAAGAGTTGATGCAACTTTTCCACAGTTTCACATTTACTAATATAAATGTCTTCAGTAGCACTTCTGATAATTCCGGGGATGTTCAGCAGCAAAGTCTGCGCGTTTCTGCTGAAACTAAAATCTCTGATGTATATCTGACACATTCATAACAGTTTATAAAATAGCTTTACACAACCTATTATGAATTGTTGGAGAGTTTAATAGGTTTTATTTGTAAACTCTATACTAAATCTTTATGTCACTGTCAGTTCCATGTTAGGTAGGTATTCTGGCAGAAAAACCCAACTGTTACCCCAAATGTTAGACCTTCCACTGATCTTCACTATAATTAAATATAGAAATCAGTCTATCATCTACATTGATATTTTATAGTTACGAGTTTTTTTAAATGGCAGTAACTCGCTTTTCTTCAATCGGACCAGAACATATCTTTGTTTCTCTAAGCTGAGGCTGTTCAAAGATCTTTCTACAACAGACTTTTTAAAAGAAATGGATTGATAGAAGATCTGAATTATTCTAAAAACCCTTCAGAACCAGACCAGTGAACGGTGTGTGTGTATGCGTGTGTTGAGATTCTGGCCGACCCCTAAACACGGACAGTCCACCCCAAACCAGAGCCGGATGTGTGAACAACTCAATATGATCAGATAAAAATAAGTTTTGATCCGCTGTCTTAACTCCATCTTCAGATGTCTGAGGCCAAGAAAAAAAAATACATGAGGAAAACAAAGATACAATTTTACTGTAACTTTTCTAGTAAAAGGTTCAAAGAGGAACTGAGTGGGTTATTGAAGTGTGTAAATAACAATCTGATGCACCTTTGCTCCTCTAACTGCTGTTAAAATTGGTTTTGTTGTCTTTAGGGGGGGGGGGGGGGGGATTATGATGCAACATTGTCAGTTATTTACTATTTTAGTTGTGTGTGCTGCACATATTTATCTGAACTCTGAATGCATTACAAAGATTTTGTTTCTAAAGTGAGACGACACAATAGAGCAACACTTTTCTACTAGCTGCACACGGTCGTCTCCACACACCTGCTACGTGTTTGTGTCCCACACTTCAAAATAAAAGAATGTATTTCTCAAGTCAAAGATGCTTTATTTAATCCAACTATGCCTTTAATTTCATTCAAAGAGGTTTAAAAGATGAAAAGTTGGCAGTTCATTTTCCACTAAACTGGACACGCAAACAAAAAGAAACCTTTCCTCGAGCCTCGTTCCAAAATGCCGTTAATCCACCCGGAAACAAAAATAACGGTGAGAATAAATCGGTAACTTTATTGTTTTATGTAAACTTTGCTCTGGTTGTGATTGTTTTTCAGCAAGTGGAAACTGGATTTTGGAACAGAACTCACTTTTTTTTAAATAACATTTTTTTTATGTAACGGTTTTAGTTAGCTAAACAAAAGACATCCACACTTCTCTACATCTACTCTGCTACACTTCAAAGTCATTCAGAAAATCCACCGTGTGAGGCTACATTAATGGCAGCTGTTGGTTTGCTCAGAGAAGTTAGTAAATCTCTTTGTTTCCTTAATCTCTACAACCTGAGATGGACCATGTTACTCGTTCTGGTTTAGAACTCTGAAGACCTAATAACGCTCCCGTCGGGTTAATAAATACGTTATTATTCACAATAATGAGACGAGTTGTAGTTCACAGTACTCGGCAGAGGAGGAGTGGTAATAATTATGTTACACTTGTTGATGCGTTCGAGTACATATCTCCGTCAGCTGACGATACGAACACAGTGCCTCTGTATTTACAAGTCCAGTACATTCCTATCCCACTGTAGCAGGCACAATTAAGTAATGACACCTACAAGAATACAGGAGGATGGGTTCAGTCATGGAGGGGTCCACAAACTCGCTGCTAGAAACCCTACACAACACCAAAACTCAGTGCTTTAAGAACAAGTCTGCCTCTTTAACAGGATTAGTGCATTTCTCTAAAGCTGAACTGAAAACAGGATTTAGAGTCTTGCTCATAAATTATCATGCTATAAAAACTTCTTGCCTCTGTTTGGCTAGCAGCTACTGCCTTCCTTTACTTTTGATTTTTGAGTAAAAAAGGCAGCGTTGATTTCTCTCCACAAATAACTTTAGCCTGAATGTGCTAATGCTAATAGTTAGCTTCTGCTAGCTTAAATAGGCTCTGCTCTCTCCTGGCTGCAAAATCAATACAACCTACTGCAGTCAAGAGCCGAGGTGGGTGAGGCCAGGCTGTTTTTGTCTGGTCTGAGCGTTATCCTGTCCGTTTTCTTTCTGTGGTACCCGGTATTGAAGACAGGCAGTGGAGATCGAAGAAAATGTATTTTGTTTAAAGTATCACCCGTTTCTCAGTGAATAAAACCTTTGGTAACGCCTTAAAAAAGGGTTCCTTTATTAACGTTACTTAGTGCATTATTAAGCAGTAAGAAAAGATCCCTTTATTAACGTTCCAGATATTAACAATTAAGTGTCCTTAAGGTTAGGACACAAGCCGGGGTGTGTGTGTCTGCTTAGTAATGCATTACATAGTATTAACATTAGTGTATAGCAGTTAATACTTTATTCAATAGTTTAGGAATGCTTAATAATGCACCAAGTAACATGAATAAAGTGACCCTTATTGTAAAGTGTTACCAGACCTTTAAACTTTTATAACTAAATATTCCCTTCATTTATTTTATTGGGAATATTTTTTTCTGATAAACGTTTAACTCTTAGAAAAGTCACACACACTTTGGAGTGATATCTTTCTGCAGCAGTTCTAATAGCACAATAAAAGTAGTAGTAGTGTTTAGCTCATTTACGAGACGGCACAAGGCAAATAAGATGCTATAAAGCAAGTTTATGAGGAAAGCACTAATTCTGTTATAGAGGTAGAGTTTCTAGTATAAGCATATTAGATGTGATGGATTTGGTGTGATGTGGTTAACTTTTACATCATAAAGAAGTAACAAAAATTTATTAAAAACTAAGAATTAAAGAAATTCCTTTGCTTTCTAAAGCCTGACAGTCTGTATGGTGTAGAACCGTGGGTTGGTGGACCTCTCCGTTATCAGAACCCCACGACCAGACGCTTTAAAAAGCAATACAAAACTGAACGAGACGAGAAGAAATCCACAAAGAGAAGGAGCTGGGGAAAGGAGAAGGTAGGGCTGTAGGTGGCGATGGAGTGAAAAAGATGTGAGCAAAGGCTGGTCCTCAGGAAGGATGGAGGGGGTGGGGCAAGCAGACACAGGTTGAACACACTGCAAACATCATAGCCCTGGCCTGAGTTTCCCATAGATACACGCTAACCAGCCGAAAGATGGAGTCGGCTCATGAAAATACAAGACAGATAAAGATTTGGTCTACGGGTTTGTTTTTAAGATATATATACTGTTTGTATTTTTCCTGCTTGGTCTTGCGCGTATCTACGGCCACCGAGGTGCAACGATCACACACTAGACGTGATCACGGCCTCAAGGTGGTTCAGGGAAACTGAGCGGTCTAAAACATCAGGCACATTTTTTACTTTTCACAACCCTTCAGCTTTATGCTACGATACATCTGGCAGCACCAAAGGTTAGCCTCCGTGGTCGACCCGTCGGTCGCCAAGGAAAGCAGCGGCCTTTATTTCCCCATGATGGAAGGCATAATTCATTTCAAGAAATAGAAAAAAGAGATATGTCCGTGGAAAGGCGCCATGGTTTAAATACAATGAAATCAAACAGTCTGTCCTTTCACCCTTTTCCTCCCAGTAGAACAGGAACATAACCAGCGCTAACAGTAGAAGAAAGCGATGAACTGTGACACCTGCAGGAGTCTCACGTTTGAGGAGGAGGCAGTGGGAAGCGCTTTGTCAACGAGATAGGACATCAGAGAGAACTTAGCTGGCATGCTGAAGGCATTTTTTTGTGTTTATTTTCAGAGCAGAAGGTTCGGTTCCTTAATTTTTTTTTCTTTTCCCAATTTCACCAATGGGGTAACACTGTTTTTTGGGGAGGGGGGGCGTTGACTTTAAGGCCAACGGGGCAGTCAGAAGCTCTCAGGCTCCTCCAGGAGGCAGGGCTGGGTGGACAGAGGCACGAGGGACGGGGACAGGCTTCGGAGGCCCACCCCCGGGCGAAAGTTGAGGTCCGGGGCGGGGAGCAAGGGTTTGAGGATGCTGACGAGGCAGAAGGCAGAGCCACTGTTGGGGATGAAGTTGACCTTGTTGCGATCGGGACACAAGAAGGGTGGGATCTCCTGCAGAGCTTTGGGCCTGGAAACAAATGTAGCCTGTTTATCAGTTTACAGGATCAATGGCAAAAAGGACCATAAAACAGCAAAGTGTTTAAGCTAAAGTTCTCTGGTAAAGTAGTGCAGCTCCAACTAGACACCCACAAATGAAGTTTTAACCATATTTTAGTAATTCACCACATAACTTTCGTGATGCGACCCCCAAACATGGGTTTGGTGAGCTGAATTCGTCTGAAAATATCAGCATTTATTAGATTTCCATTTTCTGAAACCATATGTTGTATTTTTATTGTCCTCATTCAGTCACTGTAAAAAACAATACACCCTTGTTTGATTCCTATACACAGGACCGGTGGCGCCTGTGCTCTGCAGCCTCGCCTCTGTCAGTGCGCCCCAGGGCAGCTGTGGCTACATCGTAGCTCATCACCATCGGTGTGTGAATGTGTGTGTGAATGGATGAATGATACACTGTAGTGTAAAGCGCTTTGGAGTCCTTACTCTGAGAGGCGCTATACAAGTGCGGGTCATTTATCATTTATCATTTGTCCCACTCACATGGTCTCCTCAGACACTTTGACCTTCTCGCAGCCTTCTGGGGGTTCCCTCTTGAACATGTAGCTGTTGTTGGGTCTGGGAGAAGCGGCGTACTTAGGCAGTGGGGAGCAGGGGCTGAGCTCTGCATACAGGAACAGATGATGAGGAGTTCAGCAGCACATACACCACTCGCTGTCTGGTCCTTCCCTTCACTCACCTTTGTCCTCGTAGGGGCTGCCTCCAGTTGTGTCATTTAGAACGGTGAGGTAGGAAGGCGAGATGGAGTCGGGACGGCTGCTGCAGTTGCTGTGGTTACTGCTCAGCCCACCTCCCGATGGGGTTTGTGTGTCGATGCTGCGGGTACTGCTGCTGCGCTGAGGGGGGACGGGTGGGGGTGCACGGTGCCCATCAGGGACATCCTGTGGCTGTTAAACATATAAATAGGTCAGCTGGGCTCTAATCCACCGGATGGTGGATGAGTTACTGGGCGGAGAACACAATAATCCAACTCACAACTATGGTTTCCTCCTTCTCAGGGGTGTCTCTGATGATGATGCGTTCAATCTCCTGGTTCAGACCCTCCACGCTGTTCCGGAAACGAGGAGCCGAGGACTTGGATATGGGGATGGGAATGAGAATGGTTTTGGGTATTGATGCCTGCACAGATATGAAACACAAACACAGGATTTTACTGTTAGTGTGAACCTGAGAGCAATGCTAGAGCAGTTTGATCTGGAGACAGGATGGTTATCTGGTAAGGGGTGGAAATGCTGAGTTAGTTTTTTGACTGATCAGTAGGGGGCGGAGTTTACATGTCTGGGATAGTTACAGAAAATAAACGCATGTTAAAAATAATTAGTTTATTTCAGACCTTAACTATAACATAACACCAGTACTCAACAGCAACCCAGAGTTACGCCAGGGTCCACACAAGGACCACGGTCCCTGTTAGGGTGGTGATCTTGAAGGTCCTACTGAGGCAACAAAAACAAGAACGAATACAAGCATGCACGTGCGCGCGCACACACACACACACACACACACACACACACAGGGGCAAGGGCCTGATTCCTTTCAGCTATAAACCCACTCAGCAGAGCTTCTTTATTGATCACCTGTGACTGAATGATGGTGTGGCTGCCATTGAACGGGGACTTGCGGTCTTTGTCCCTCCGATGGCGGCTACTGCGTTTGCTGCGCTGGAGCTGCTGACGCAACTTGGCAATCTGGAGAGGTTTAGGAATGCAGACATTGATTTTAAAGTGGTAAACTTCTACAAACACTGCACATGCAGGAAGACGATCAGACCTCCTTGAGCTGGTCTGTGCTCCCGCAGGAGGCCGAGCGTTTGTGAGAGCCCCTCCTCCTCTCATCTGCCCAGGCCCTGGGGGTCTGAGACGTACAAAAACACCAGTTAGAGCAATGTCTCCAACACACACCGGCTCACCATTATGTCTCAGGACCGAGGCGTACATTTGTAGGGATTTTATGTGATATTCATGGAAAACACAAAGGCCTAACAGAAAGGCTGAGATATCCTGCAGGAACTCTTTGATCTCATCTCTTTGATCCGAGTCTTGTTCAAAGACTGCGACTGTGAAACACGCTACCACGTTTTATGATGCAACCGTCTGCAAACTCCCTGAACCTTGTTGGACCTACTGACTGATTGATCAGCCTGTTTAACCCTTTAAAGCCTGAAACATGGAATTATGTTCAGATTTTATCCAAATGTTTATAGAATAATATTAAATATGTATTTAATTTCATCACACAAAAGAAAAATGGTGCTTTATACTTGTAGTGGAAATATTACTGCAAATAAAACGGGATAAACTGCAAAAACTATAATTTATCAGACTTTTTTGGGACTGAATTACCAGAAGAAAGTCAGCAGGCTGCTCAACCATGAGCCTGAAGGAAAGAGGGTGAATTGCCTCATTTGTGATAAATTAATTTCTACAGGATCACATGAAGGTTTCAAAGGAATCTGAATCAACTGGAGATGTTTCCTTGCAGCAGTTTCTACCTGCAAAATACCTGGACATGCCTCTGCCCCGCCCCACACTCACCTGCGTGGCTTTGTCCCTCATGTAGGAAACGTGCTGTTGCTGGCTGTCGTCCTGAGGCCAGGGACCTGTCAGGTGAGAGCCAGCGAGTGTGCCCTGCGAGGGCCACAGCTGGACACGATGACGGGGGACTGGCGAGGAGAATAAGGGGGGCCGCTCAGCTATCAAAGGAGGTGGAGGCCGACGCCAGCGGGGGGCACAAGGAGGTGAGGATGGTTAAGGCCACGGACGCAGTCTGAGGAGATGTAAACAACATTGTTTGTCAACACCCGGTAAACAATAGATGAACAGACTCACAGCTGTTCTGAAGGATAATCTCATAAATATCTCATTCTGTCGAGGCTTGATGCTAATCCAGCCCGTGGCATCCTCCCTTCAGCCCCCTGAATAATGGCATTAAACCAGCTTAAAGCAGGGCCTTGTGTGTGTGTGTGTGTGTGTGTGTGTGTGGGGGGGGGGGGGGTCTGGCTTTTGGCCAACTGACCCATTTGGAGGCTGCTGCAGCAGCTTGAACAGGAAGGGGAACTAACTTACAGAAGAGACGACTTTGTTTTTAGGACTTTGTCTTGAGCCGGGAGTTTAATGTTTTACTTTGGCAGATTGTAGGGCTCCGACAATAATTTGTGTGTTAAATTCAAAACTGGAGATGGAAGAATGAGGGCAAAACACACCTATGGTGTTTGATGTATACAAAAGTCTGCTTCTCTTATTTTCAGTAATTTGTTGTCATAAAGATCCTAGAGTTGTAAAAATATGTTTTATTAAAACTTCCACTCAGAAGTTGGAATATTAACCACCTATCTACTGAAATCTGACCCCAGCTTTCCACTGGATGTGTAAGCTGCACATAACGTAATCTATGTGTTTTATCAGCAAACTCAGCATTGCCTTCCCACCGGGAGCGTTTCAGACGCAAATCAGCAGCGAAAGCGTTCCACCCAGCTTGCCTCACGAGATCACGAAATCACTGGAGAAGTGCAAGAACATGTGGGATTTCAGCAGTTCACGCAGTAACAAGCAAGGAGAAAGATGGCAGCACGTCTCCCAAAAAGCCAGTAGTTTATTTTCTGTTCTTTTTACCTCAACTACAAAGATATCACGGGTCATTATGTACTTTTTTATTTACTAGTTATTAAGTAACTAGAAATGTTTTGGGTGTCTTTTATTTTGAAAGTTTCAGGATAATTCAAACTGCTTTTGTGTTTGACTTCCTGTCTGGCCCGATCTGAACGGCTGAGCTTGAAGTGTTCTTGAAGCATAGAAAAAATAGAAAACAGACTTGAAGCATAAATTTAGTGGAGCAGTGTGACACCATGCTTCTGGGATGCGTTCAACACATGCGTGGCACATCGAGGCGTGCGAAAATACAACCGTTCACTATAACAGCGACTATTAGCTATTACGCTTTGCCAACACTACGCGACACTTACGCATCGCGTAGAAAGCTTACCAAATCAACACAAGGATGTGTTTTTTAAAACTGTTATAGCAAAGAACTCAGTCACATCATTATGATTCATAGTCTCCCTAAAATAAAAACTGTTATTTTTTGCATATGAGAAATAAGGCAAAATAATAAATGAGTAATTCAAACTGTCTTATAATTCTAACTTTTTGTCTGCGGTTATTTGAATAGAAATGGAACATAAATAATATTCTGCACACTACAAAATCAGCCTCGCTAGAAGATGAATGTAACATTTAGTTCCGCATGTCTCTACATGTTCAGACAAACGGCTTTGCCTGGTGGTGCAGGACCTGCAGCTAAATTTGGAAAGAGCCTTGACCAGTACTGTTGCTAGGGAACGGTGTGGTGGTGGTGGTGGTGGGGTCTCTCTCTGGGAATAAATGGGGATTAGGACATGAGCAGTCTGATAGAAAAATGCCCAGATTGATGAGCAGTGACAGTTCTTTCCTTAGGGTCAATATTGATGCATTTTCTGGGTTAACACACATCTATATGCTCCTGACCAGCTGGCGCATTAGCACACACCTCTATGATATATCAATAAACTGTACAGAGCTATGGAAAAGTATTTGTTTTTGCTTTGTTGCCATTTACTAGCAAACATATGCCATTTTCAGCCAAAGACAACCTGAGTAAAAGCAAAAATGCTGTCTTTTAAATGATCTAATTTCTTAAGGGAACAAAGCTATCCATAGCAACCTGGTCCTGTGTGAAAAAGTATTTGACCCCCGTGTTAAATCACAAATTAACCTGATTATTTATAAAGTTGAGTTCAAGTCCACCAGCCACGCGTGTAGAATTAAGAAATCACCTTAATTGAATCTTCCTGGTTGAGGAGGAAGCTAAAAGATGTCAAAAAGTAAAAAAAAAAAAAAAAAAAAACATGAATCATTCTGAAGAAATTTAATAACAAACCCATGATTCTATTATTTGAAAAGAGGGAGTGGTCCTCACATTAAAAACCATGCTGGTGATGAAGGGGTGTGTCTTTTTCCATTTGGAGTAAAACTAACACCAGAACATCCTGACAGCAGTCAGACTTGGTGGTGGTAGTGTTGGGGACTGCTTTGCTGCTTAAGCCTGATTTATGGAATCAGAAAATCTTGACCTTTGACCTTAAACAGGACATTCATGTGTCTGCTCTGTAGCAGAGTGGGACAAAATTCCTCCACAGCGGTGAGACACTCAGCTATCCAAACTGACTGGATTTGAGATCCAGGTGGGTTCTGAATGATAAGACTAATTATCTCAGTGTGGCAAGGTGGAGAAACGAGGGCCCGGGCGGGATTTGATCCCCAGACTCCTGGGTGAGAGTCACGCTCGCTAACCAGTCAGCCAAAGGGACATTCCCTTGGCCAAGTAGCCAGGGCGCCGATCAATCGGGACACTGTGACAGGACGCTCACACTGCCACATCAGTAAATAAGATAATTGTGCATTTCGTATTTACTCAGATTATCTTTGTCTGGTGTTAACATTTGTTTTTTGATCTGGAAACTGTGAAGTGACTGAAGCAAAACCATAAAATCCACACACGGGAGCAGCTAAAGTGTGTTTTCCGGCCATAAGCAAATTAGGCCACTTTTGTTTACTACTAGTAAACAAGCATGCAACCCCCCTCCCCCCATCATCATCATAACAGGTGAGATGCAGGTCATTTATATAAACTCTCACCCAGGTGAGCATGAATCCAGACTGGTATTAATGAGCAGACTCACCTGCAAGATTAGAGGCTCCAGGCGCTGCCTTGGAGGGGGCATGGAGCTCCGGAGCAGCCCAGCCTCTGCTTGTTTGTCTCTACCCGGAGACGCAGCAGCAGCTGAGGCTGAGCAGGGCGGGTGGGCTGCCGGCTACAACACACAAAAGCCCTTTCACCAGCAAACACATGAGAAACAAGGTCGTCTCGGTGTGCTGACTCTGATTTGGCCCCTGCCTCCTCCTCCTGCTGCTGGTGGATGGATGTTTTTTTCTTCTGGCGCGCGCCTGATGCGACACTACGGCTCGAACGGAAACCGGCAGCCCATCTGCTGTAGGAGAGAAAACCGGGGGAAAAAGGATACTGCGTTGGTTTAACGTCCGGGTCGAGATGTGCAGGAAAACAATAACAAAAACTGTGTAAAATACAGGAGAATAAAGGAGAAGGCGGTGATGCTGGACGAGCCTGGCTGACACGACGGGAGAAGGGACCAGTGTGAGGCTAGCAAAGAGGAGCAAGCTAACTTCCGGTTGATACTTTCAAAATAAAACAATCTGAGCGGGCAGCTGAGGCAGGCGGAGAGGGATGGTGTGATAAACAACTAAATAAAAAATTGTTTAGAAACGAGACTGAATTGTGCATTTCAGCATCTATACAACTAAAATATTTTTCTAAAGCTAATTTAACACTGAGAAAAGTGCTTTCTCTGGAATCTTAATACTGTCATCATGTTCAGCCTGGCCTAGAAATCTAGACCATCATTAGCTGAAACAAAATGATTTTGCTCTGCATGTCTAGGATGGGTTTGCCACCAGGATATTTTTAGCCTACGTTTCATACAATCTTAGCAAATCTAAGTAGAAAAATTGAAGTTTGTGTGAATGTCTTACATCTTTGTGTATTTTATTACTTTATTATTTTAACATAATTATGCAGTGCACAGCACGTTGGTCATCTTCTTGATTGTTAATTGTACTTTATAAATGAAGTTTGATGATGGTGGAAAAACAAGACATGAATTTACTTCTTGACTTTTAGATTTTTAATTCCAATCTAGAGCATTTCCGGTGAATTTTTGCTAACTTGATGCATCCAAATCAAAGCAGTGACGCAGCGCACGAGCGCCGCGCCGCACGCGCTGATGCTGCAGTTGCTAGGGGCGCGAGGAGCAGACGGCGAAAAGGAGAGGATGACCAGTGTTGGGCAGACTATTGTAACATTTATTACCATCACTAGAATCTGCAACATTAACAGCGATAAATCAAAAATTCGAATAATTATATAAAACTGCGCCTGCTTTTAAACATCCAACATTTTAACTTCTTGGTGAGGAAGTTAAAGATTTAATGTTGCACATATTTTTTCTTTTATTGATACATTTTTAAATAATTGTATTGTTTGGTTTGATCATTGACGAAATTTTTAGTTAATTTGAATATAATCATTTTATTTTATTTTTCCTATTATAATAGATTGTTCTTAAGATAATTATTTAACATCCATTCAGGGACTAAAGAAGAAAAATAACATATATTATTACATATAATATTCAATTATCTATTTCTTGATCCTTTCTTAGTTTAGTAAAAATAAAGTTTCTTACATGACATGATTCAGCTAGTATCTCTAGCCATAATCAGAGATCGCCAGTGTTGGTGGCGTCACTTCCTTTTATCCGTTTGACTTAAAATAATATTCAATTAGTTTAACTGGCTAATTAATTTTTGACAACATACTTTTAGATATCTAGATATCTAAATTTCGGTAAACACCAAAAAACATTTTTCTAAAACTTTTTAGTGAATAAAATAAATCATGTTTGAGAACTGATAGGTTCAATTTAATTAAAAAAAATAAACAAAAAGAACAAACAGAATCAATTTCTAACAATTGTTCTATTTTTATATTGTTAAATGGGAGGAAATGTCTCCCTCCAGTGTTGACTTTAATTCTAAAGCCCTGTGAGGTGACTGAGGGCATTCATGATGAGCAACAGCCCACATCTGTTTGGGTTTGAATCAAAAACGTCCACCCCACATAAACTCCATTATAATGTCATACATTTATTGAGATTTTCTTTCATAATGAGTTGAAAATGTTTACAGAAACTGTACCGAGCAGACGCATAGCAATGGAATCAAAGGCCGTGTCCACTGAATGCACAACAGACCTCCATAAAAATGATGCAAATATGAATGAAATACACATACACTTTGTTTTTTATACAAATTACAATTACAAAAACATACATGAGATCTTGTCCCCAGCACTGAAGCAGCTCTGACATAACAGAAAGGGTACAATGACACTTTTAGCTTGCCTGTACAGCGCTAGGCCTCGATGATTCTGATGCTGGCTGACAGTAAAAGAAACACGGCACGTGCACACGCTCACACGGTCAATCAGTCGCTTCAACATCACGGGATGAGACAGGAAGTGGAAATAATATCCAGCGTGCTTTAGTGTTTTTTTTTTTTTTGTATTTTAGGTCTCTGGTTTTGAACAAAAGTAGCAGGATCTGGGTGTTTTTTCAGTGTTTCTGGTGTTTTGATTCAAAAACAGCTAACACACAGTCAACAGTGAGGTCAGGTGATGGCGTTAACAGCGACACCGTAACAGATCGCTCCGTAGGTTCCATTCAGGTGATTGTAGTGTTAAAATCCCACGCAGGCGGAGAACTCCGGTGATCACACGGTCCAGGATCGATTGTTAGTGTTGTGTCCCCCTCAGAGTCCAAGGAAAAGAGGATTGTCGTCCATTTCTCTCTTTTTGAGTCGGGGGGATGGTGACGGTGAGGGGGTGGATTGTTTACAAAACGATTGTGACAACAATACGTAAGTGCAACAAAGATTATTAAAGTATCAAAAACCATAAAAACGGCAGCCAAAAAACAAAGGAAGCAATAAAAACAAAAGCTTCTAAAACTACATCCTATTGCACAATTAAAATTATGATACAAACATGGATACATGGACAATGGCATTGCATACAAATTAAAATACAAGAAAAAAAAAAGATTAATCTGTTCTGTCTTTAAGACGTCTTTTTTATTTTATTTTTAACAGAGCTCAATCTCACGTCGCTTCATACAGCAAAGGTGAGAGGAAAAGAAATCGCTCCAAGCCTTGATTGTTTTTCTCCGCCTTTTTAAGTTTAAAGACCACTTTTTGTTTCGGTCACAACAGACAGGACTTAAAACACTGATTTTAATTGGTTCAAAGTGCAGGAGGAGGGTTTAAAATGTTCTACGGTCATGACGATGAAAGGTAAGAGAAAGCAACAAAGAGATTAAGAACAAAAACGCAGAACAAAGAAGCAAATGAGAATGATGCATAGCTGGATTCCATTTAAAGCAATGCCGTTAGAAAGCCACACTGGAACGGGACGGGTCTAATTACTGTACAGGACCAGGCTCCACTGTTCACCAAACACCATCTTTAGCTTCCAGATGCTGATTCAGAGCAGTTCTTTATCCAGTCTGGATGGAGGTCTAGACTCAGACCTGTGTGTCGCTGGGCTCGCTGTGGAACCGCCCGCCATGCAGATAGATGGCCGAACTGGACTTGGGTCCATTCTGATTGTGACCATGACTCCGAGTGGACCCGTTGTTGTTGACCTCCGGGCCCCGACTATCTGTGGAGATAACCCAAGTTGTGGGTCGCCACTTCTTTAGAGAGTAGGGTGTTTTCACGCGCTTCTTGATTTTATCGCCTGTTCCCAAGGCGCCGTCAGGCTGCACCTCCCCTAGAGGAGAAAACACACACAAATGTTATAAAAATGATTATTTCTGTAAACCTGAAAATTACCCTGGTCGACTTGCGTTTCAGTGAGGAAAAATTACTACGTAGTTAGTAAGATCGCTTTTACGAGGTGAAGGTAAATATATGTTATCTGCTGTAGGCCATAACAGCTGTATTATCAGACATCAATTATTAATATTAACCTAACATTTTTAGATTGATGCATCTCTGTATTTCAAGTAGTCTTGATTTAGGTGTTTCATGAAAAAATCCCGGACGAGCCCCTAAAACGTTAGACTCTGTAATTTTAGCCCAGAAAATGAAGGGTTTTTATTAGCTCAAGAGCTCAGGTGTGTCTCAGTTTCAGAATAACGTGTCCAAATTTGAAAATCTTTACACAATACACAACTGGAACCCTGATTAAAAAAGCTAAATATTTCTGACAATTTATCAGATTAAAGACGTAAATTTCTGTCAGAGGGTTTTGGGCAGTCACCTAGGGAAGTCAGGTCCTGTGTGGTGAAGGACAGATCCAGGGAGTTGGGTCTCTCTGGGCGGCGGGTTCTGGGCTGTCTGAGCAGAGCTTCTCCTCTCATGATGACTGTTGACTCCCTTACTGGGTCTGCGGTGGACCCTGACCCAGAGCTCTCTCCCATGGTTTCCCTGCTTCCTCCCTCAGCGCTCCCTGCCTCCTCCCCTCCGTCGCTCTCCCCTCCGCTGCTGCCCTCCCCCTGGCCGTGCCCGGTATTGCTGTTGTTGTTGTTGGTGTTGGGGCGGGCTGAGCGCAGGGCGGAGGATGCGTCCCTCACGTCCGGGTGCTCTTGCTCTCGGCTTAGAAGCGGCTCGTGTTCGTCGGGGCTGGCTGTGATCACGCCGAGGCTGAGCCGGCTGTCGTCGGACCTCAAAGTTTCTGTTCCATTCTGAGTTACACCGGATCTTCCCGCCACCATGGATGAGACCCCCCCGCCAGCGTGACCATTAACGACACCATTAACGATACCGTTGATGCTGCCATTGACGTGGACCTCTCGTAGAACAGGTATGTTATTGGTGCTGGTTCCTGCGTGAGCTTCGACGATGTTTGTCCCCATCACTGCTCCAGGATTTGTCTTTGCTCCCTCCACCTGCCTCAGGTTGGACTTCCCGGAGCGCCCGAACTTAAACCTTAGCGAGGAGGACGAAGACTCCTTCTTGGTGGGCTTGTTCTTCAGTGGCAGACTGGACGGTCTCTTTGGCAGGTTCTGCTGCTTGGGCAGGGGGAAGATGGTGGCGGGTACAGCTGCAGGGGGTTCCGACGCCCCCGAGGCCTCGCTGGCCATCTTGATGAGCGGGTAGAGCAGGCTGGAACTGCCGGGACTCAGCGGGTCGGGGGAGCAGAACTGCTTCTGTGAGTGCTCCATTAGATTCTCATCAGAGCTCTCCTTCAGGTTCTTGTCAACTTCTTTAGGATCCAGCTTGGTGGTTTCCAGGTCCTCCTGGGTCAGGTGTAGGCAGACGGGAACTGTGGCTGTCCCTGTGAGACCCTCTGACTCAGAGAGGATGGTGGTGGTAGTGGTGGAGGCTGAGGGGCTGCCTCTCAGACCCATGCTGGTGCTGCTGCTCTCTGGACTTGGCAGACGGGCGTTGGCCTGCTGCTGACGCTCCTGGTTGATGGAGTTCCTGTTCCTCTCCCCAGCACCGACTCCAGCTCTGCCTGTTACAGCGCTGCTGCTGTCCACCTGCATATTCTTAGCTACCCCCTCCTGCTCTTCAATGTAGGAGGAAGGATGATCAGTGTAGGGGCCCGACTTTGGAGTCATGCGGTTTCTGTTCAACGACAGGAAGAAATGAGATGTGAAACAGTTTCGTGTTGGCGTGTGTGATTCTGAGTCTAGCTACCTCTCGTTGTGCAGAGTGGTGGACATGGGGTTGAGGGTTGGACTGACGGACTTGGACCGGTCCCATATGAGGAACAGCTCTGTCAGGCGCTCCTCGGCACACTGAGCTGTGAGGCGAGCCTCTGCATCCTGATCCCAGCAGTCCTCCATGGTCTCCTTCAGGGAGCGAACCGCCTGGGGGTGGGAGTAGTTAAATCACACAGATTCCAAACCAAAGGCTCTGGATATGATTATATCAAACAGAAGCAACCTCCTCCCAGAAGCTAACACAAAACAAAAGCTAATTCAAAAAATCCTCTAATTAGTTTAAAAGCAAACAGGAAAGATCTATTCCTCCTATTGTGAGTCGGACGCTTTGATTAAATCCCAGATTCATGCGACTGTGGCTCTGTTCCTATCAAACACGTACCAGGCTGTTCTCCTTCCAGGCTTCAGGGAATTTGGGCCGCTGCTTCTCCCGGGACACCAGGACCTGCATGTCCTCAAACGTCGGGTGGTTTCCTGCCTCGACCTGAAAGGCCATCTGGTAATCTGGCACCGACTCTCCTACAAACCAATGGAGACAGGGCGGATCAGATTTTAGACACAGATCACACATATGAGGCTTGTTCTGAATGGAACACCCTTAAAGACGTAGCCCATAGGGCACTCTCCTCACCAGGGAACAGATCGGTACATCTCATGAAGATTTCCCAGTAGACCAGGCCCAGAGCGTACATGTCCACCTGCTTAAGTGCTGCCTCACAGTCCCTCAGGTTCACCGCACCTTCCAGAACCTCCGGAGCCATGTAGCGGACCGTCCCCGCCTGCAGAGGAGAGAAGAAAAGATGAAACAAAGGTAAATGACTGAACGTTCGGGGCTACAAGTGATGAGAGATCCTAAAATCCCTGATGCGGTGCAGTCCTTTCTCCTCACCTCGCTAATGGCAGCGTTGTCCTCTTCCCCGTGACGTGTGGGACGATTCCCTGTCAGTTTCATGGACAGGCCAAAGTCGATGATGGCAGAGGTGCCATCGGCCTTGACCAGAATGTTTCTGCTGTTCAGGTCTCTGTGGGACACGGCAGGCTTGTACAAGTCTAAAAAAACAAAGAGGAGATGATTGTGTAGGTGTGTGACCAGCAGGGGGCGCAGCGAGGCAGCAGGAGGTTGACACAGTCACCAGGGAGATGTGATGTGCAGGAGTGGGGGAGAAGACTACCATACCAAAGCCCCAGAGATCCTGCAGATTTCTTTAAGACAGTCCTTCCTCTTATCTACTCATCACTTCACCTCCCAGAGTCACTTTTTAGCTACACATGGCACTGATTTGAGCTCTCTCTCCTCTCTTTTCACTGCATAGTCTGCCTGATGACTATCTGTGCTAATGAGGAGAGAGAACAGGAACATCTGACGACCATTTGTTGACAGATGACGGAAACAGCAGAGTCCTGACCTCTCAGAGTGAAGTTACCTTTTATTTACCTCTGTAGCATGTTCCTTTCTCTGCTTCCTCTCTGTGGCTCGCTCGAGGGAAGGCTAAAAATACCCTCAGCTGGGCGTGCACTGACTGTTTGTCAAAACACAAACTCTACAAGACAAACAGACCCGAGTGGCGCTGCATGTACAGCTCACGTGGAGGCTCGCTCTGGACTCTACTGTTTAAATGTTTCCGGACACAAAAACTTAGTTTTCAGGTGTCGAGTGTTAAAATGAAGAACATTAACACATCAGGTCAACTGTACACCAAACCTCAAACCAACGCAAGTCAAGAGAACAGATCTCAACCACATATATGACTGACAAAGTCACAAAGACGAAGAGTTGCTGAATCATCACGGACTCACAGTTTCTCTGCTTTTGTTAAACAATAATAAACTTCATCTATAGTCTTTTACTGCCGGAGACACTAAATCAGGAGGAAAACAAGTAGAAACAACTGCAATATCTTTGTGAGCAAGAGGAAGACGGGTGGATCAAATCACTCTTGCTGACATCTTATTTTGACCATTTGCTCTCTGCAAATAAACAACCTAAAGACAATATTTTCATTTCAAATGTAAACAAAAATGTTCAATTCACCCCAACAGACAGAACAGTTCATTTTGCAAAAAAGAGCATTGAGAATCATTAATAACAGTAACTATAGAGATCACACTAATAAATTATTCATTAGATACAAAATACTGAAATTTCCTGACTTGGTAGAGTGGAAAATATCGCAAATAATGTACAGAGCGAATACGAGTAATCTACCAACTAATATTCAGAAAATGTTTCATAAGAGAGTAAGTGGGTACATGTTAAAAGGAACTGATGTCTTTAAGAAACCTAGATTCAGAACCAAAGTGAGGGAATGTAACATTTCTGTAAATGGTGTAAGGTTGTGGAATACCATTAACAAGGAATTTAAAGAATCAACTACACTTGCTACATTTAAAAAATGTATAAAATCTAATGTATTTAGTAATTATGAAAAGGTGAATTACAATGTCAAAGATTAGACGTGAAAATATTAGAAAGTGACTGAGGTTATACTGTGTTTGTTTGGCGGATAATTTTATTTTGTAAAAAGGGGCAGAAATCATAAGATTTTTTTCTTCTATCTGCTCCTTTTCATTCAAATGTTTTTTTTTCAATATGTTAATGTATGTTGTATTTGTTTGTGTTTATTTTATACATTGTGAATGAAATAAAAGATTTAAAAAAAGATGCTGTAAAATCATAACCATTGAAAATGTAAGTCTGTATGTGTGCATGTATGTGTTTGGGTCATGAGACCAATTTCAAACAGTGTGATATTTGTGTAAAATTTCTTGTTTAAATTTAATCAGAAAGTGTCTTAATTATGTACACAAAGTGATCAACAATCTTAGCTGAAGTAGTTTTCTCATCTTTGACTCACAAAAACTAAACTGAGAAGTGTCTGACAGGTTTGAGACAGATTTCAGACGAGACAAAAAGATTTGGGACGGGGTTGAGACAAATCAAAGAAAGTTGAAGAGAAGTTCGAGATGGGTTTAGGTGACAGGTTTAGGTGTTTTGAGACAGGTTTGAGACAGATTTGTGGAATTCAAGATGGGTTTCAGACAGGTTTAAGGTGTTTAGGACAGGGCTGAGGTTTGAGATGGATATGAGGCATTTCAAACAGGTTTGAGACAATTTCCAGAAAACTCGCTAATTGTTTTGGAACTTGTTCAAAATTGCAGTGACAAGAGTGAGATTCTCTGATCGACAAGGAAACTGAGACATCTCCAAAGTTTTGATGTATTCTGGAAACTTCCCCATGAATATGGTTCACAATTCATCACTAAAAGTCTAAGCTCAGGGAGGTATTGGACTCAGGTCCAAAGATTTGTTTTACATGTTGAAAACCCGAGATATCTCCATGTGGATGACTCTGGTTTTATGTTTCCGTATTTGGCAAACACTTTTATCCAAAACCTATAATTGAGGACATAACAATGCAGTCAATATGTTATTACAAGATACAAGTATATTTGATAAGATGAATTTTATAGATTTTATTTTGTTAGATTTTATTTGAACTATACGCTTTTCACATCTCATGGTTTGAGGTGGCAGCCATGTGGTAGTAAAACCAATAAAAACCCCGGTACTATTCAGTGTTCTTGGTTGTATTATTATATTTTTGTATTGACCATAAATTTGTTAATATTATCCTACTTCCTGTTAGGTTGATTGAGGTCAACCAGCTGAATCAGAGCCTACCCGGATGTCACTCCTTCCTTAATCTAAACCCTTTGTAAACGATTAGGTCTACTGGGGCCAAACACACTAAAAGCTTTGCCACCACAACTCTTTTTTTCAGTTTATGTTCCGGTAGCAGCCCTAGAATTTGATCCCAGTAAGGTTTGAGTGGTTTGTGTGTCCACCAGCTTACCTCCTTTACAGAGCTCCGTGTGCAGGTACGCCAGGCCCCGGGTGACAGAGTGGGCCAGCCGGCAGCTGCTGACCCAGTCGTTGGTCTGGATGCTCAGGTAGCGACTTACAGAACCCTGAGGACCATGAAGAGGGATGACATGAAACAATACTGTCCTACTGTGATTATAAATCACCACTTTAATAAAGCATTATCCCAGAAATGTTTAATTTCCTTCTTGATTGCCCTCCTGGTAACCTTGATCATTTATTATTAGTTGGTTCATGGATCACAAAGAGAAAAGTTCATCACTCTGAAAGAATACTACTTTAGATCTGGTAGTTGTGGATAAATCACATTAATAATTTACTTGAACACATTATGTGTTCCGACTCCTGTCCTGGCTTGTGCTGCGTTTCCATGACGATGTGTATTAAACTAATGAGAGCGAAGCATAACAGGCTCCTTTTATGCCTGGTATACAGTGGGGCAAAAAAGTATTTAGTCAGCCACCGATTGTGCAAGTTCTCCCACTTAAAATGATGACAGAGGTCAGTAATTTACATCATAGGTACACTTCAACTGTGAGAGACAGAATGTGAAAAAAATCCATGAATTCACATGGCAGGATTTTTAAAGAATTTATTTGTAAATCAGGGTGGAAAATAAGTATTTGGTCACTTCAAACAAGGAAAATCTCTGGCTCTCACAGACCTGCAACGTCTTCTTTAAGAAACGTTTCTGTCCTCCACTCGTTACCTGTATTAATGGCACCTGTTTGAACTTATTATCTGTATAAAAGACACCTGTCCACAGCCTCAAACAGTCAGACTCCAAACTCCACTATGGCCAAGACCAAAGAGCTTTCGAAGGACACCAGGACAAGAATTGTAGACCTGCACCAGACTGGGAAGAGTGAATCTACAATAGGCAAGCAGCTTGGTGTGAAAAAATCAACTGTGGGAGCAATTATCAGAAAATGGAAGACCTACAAGACCACTGATAATCTCCCTCAATCTGGGGCTCCACCCAAGATCTCATCCCGTGGGGTCAAAATGATCATGAGAACGGTGAGCAAGAATCCCAGAACCACACGGGGGGACCTGGTGAATGACCTGCAGAGAGCTGGGACCACAGTAACACAGGTCAACATCAGTAACACACTACAACGGCAGGGAATCAAATCCTGCAGTGCCAGACGTGTTCCGCTGCTGAAGCCAGTGCATGTCCAGGCCCGTCTGAAGTTTGCCAGAGAGCACATGGATGATACAGCAGAGGATTGGGAGAATGTCGTGTGGTCAGATGAAACCAAAGTAGAACATTTTGGTATAAACTCAACTCGTCGTGTTTGGAGGAAAAATAATACGGAGTTGCATCCCAAGAACACCATACCTACTGTGAAGCACGGGGGTGGGAACATCATGCTTTGGGGCTGTTTTTCTGCTAAGGGGACAGGACGACTGATCCGTGTTCAGGACAGAATGAATGGGGCCATGTATTGTGAGATTCTGAGCCAAAAACTCCTTCCATCACTGAAAGCTTTGAAGATGAAACGTGTCTGGGTCTTCCAACACGACAATGATCCCACACACACCGCCCGGGCAACAAAGGAGTGGCTCCATAAGAAGCATTTGAAAGTCCTGGAGTGGCCTAGCCAGTCTCCAGACTTCAACCCCATAGAAAATCTGTGGAGGGAGTTGAAAGTCCGTGTTGCTCGGCGACAGCCCCAAAACATCACTGCTCTCGAGAAGATCTGCATGGAGGAATGGGCCAAAATACCAGCTACTGTGTGTGCAAACCTGGTAAAGACCTATAGTAATCGTTTGACCTCTGTTATTGCCAACAGAAGTTATGTTACAAAGTATTGAGTTGAATTTTTGTTATTGACCAAATACTTATTTTCCACCCTGATTTACAAATAAATTCTTTAAAAATCCTGCCATGTGAATTCATGGATTTTTTTTCACATTCTGTCTCTCACAGTTGAAGTGTACCTATGATGAAAATGACTGACCTCTGTCATCATTTTAAGTGGGAGAACTTGCACAATCGGTGGCTGACTAAATACTTTTTTGCCCCACTGTAATTAGCTGGAGGTTTGGATGGGAAGCAGCTTGGAGGTGCATCCTCATTAACATTCATGAGCACCTGAGGGCATTTGTAGGAGTTTTACCAGTAAACAATAAGAAAAACATTTTAAAAAGTTTGAGACAAACGGCTGCATGCTGATAATATATAAAAGCCTTTAGCAACTTTTTGTTTAAATGGATCAATGCTATGCATCTAGAGGTCAGGAGACAACCTTATCTGAATCTGTTACTCTATTATTTCTATTAAATAATTTCTTCTCAGTGCTGATTGGAATTAACTCAGTGATTCACAGAAAATCAAACAGCATCCAGAGCTCTGAGATAGTATGAGGATTGCCGTAACGACACTGACACTAGTCAGTGACTCGATGCAATCTGCTGGATCCCTTATAAAGGAAACTTTTAACTGATTGGCTTAATGACCTGAACTGTATTGGAATGTTTACTGTGTGAAGTGCCTCGAGACGACTCGTCGTTATTTGGAGCTATATAAATAAACAGAATTGAATTGAGAAGCCCGGCGTTTTCCTCGTGGATCACAGCTCTGTGGTTTGGATTGTTCTTTTGTCTAGAGTCTCGCCGTCTCCACCACAACCGTAACAAACTACTTAATGTTAACTTTATTTGGGTTGGAGCCACTTCCTTCCTTTCATTAGCCTCTGACAGCTGCAGCCCCACCAGCTGATGGTTGATTAAATTAGTGAAATGTTTTGATTAATCTGGCTAATATAACAAGGAGTCTGTTGCTAAAATCAGTACTTTAAGCAATTTCACTGTTAGGAAGAGCCTGTACATTATGGGAATGAGAAAGCCAAGCAGTTAACATGGTGGAGATTGTTTTATATAACCAGACCCAGGTATTGGTGGATCTTTTGGTTTTCACCACCTCAAGGTGATGATATCAGAGCACCACGTCTGGATTTAAACTGGATTAACCAAGACAAACGCTGTGACGTGTAGGTAAGGGTTGTCTCTGAGCCCACTCAACCTACGAAGGAAACTCATTTTGGTCGCTTGTATTCACGATCTTGATCTTTTGGTTGTTATCCAAACTCCTGACCATAAGCAGTGTTGGGTAATAACGTGTTGCAGTAACGGTGCTACGTTTACCAGTAACTGTTAATATAATTAGTTACTTTTTAAATAAAGCAACTTTACTGGTCTGACTTAAATTGTGTCGAAAAATAAATTAGTACCGTATTTGTGTTTATACAATAATCAAATCTGGTTATAAGGACATTAATAATGATAATGATAAATGATCTGCATTTGTATAGCGCCTCTCAGAGTAAGGACCCCAAAGTGCTTTACACTACAGTGTATCATTCATCCATTCACACACTGGTGGGGATGAGCTACGATGTAGCCACAGCTGCCCTGGGACGCACTGACAGAGGCACATTGGGCATAATGGGACATAATGGGCACATTTTTAAAAATACTCTATTAAAAAGTACCTAAATAGTCACTTTTCAGAGTAATGCGTAACTTTTGGGAGTAAGTAATCAGAGTAACTGATCACTTTTCAATAAGATAAATAGTAAATGTAACTAGCTACTTTTTCCAATAACTAGCACAACACCAACTATTATTGGGGGTAGGGATAAAGGTGACCAGTAAATTGAGAGCGTTGCTCTCTGGTTCAGACGTTTTACGAGACGTAACGGCATTCAGTCGGCTCTCTGGCTGTGGGAAACTAAACAAGGCCTTAACTGTTAAGAACGAGGTACGAACCTGCTCTAGTACCAGTCCTGGTCTAGCACTGGGACCAAGAAAACTAAAACCCTATCACCGTCCTAAACAGGAGGTGTCACTTCCAGGAACATCACCTTCAGGAATGGCAGCAGAAGAAGGAAGTACACTCTTTCAGACACAACCAAACTCTCAAGTCAGTTAAGTGATTAATTCGGATAATATTTGAGTCAACCAGCATCCTATTGATCTGTACTCACATGAGGGTAGTAGTCCATGACCAAGAGGAACTCGGTTCGTCCTTCTGGGCCTGTCCGCTCGTCCGCAGCAACAAACCTAGCGATGTTATCGTGCTCCAGGAGCGGCAGGCGGTAGATGGAGCATTCATTCATGAAGTTCTGCCGATTGGCTGCAGTAAACACCTTCACAGCCACGGGCCGCTCATCCAGAGAGCCGCAGTACACGGTCCCATATCTGCCACGTCCAATCAGCTGAAGGATGGTGTGAGGAAAGACTATTTAAAGGCACTGATCTAAAAATACAAATCTTAATGAAAGAAACACTTTTCCCTGCTTATAGTGCTTTGTTACAGCAGCTGAGGTACACACATGTGCCACACACACCAAGAAGGCAAAAAAAGAGATAGAAAATCTCAAGAGACACTCAAAACAACCACCAGCAGTAAAACATACAGGCAGGCAAGCAGCAGATAGAGAGGAAGTCAATTAAATAGGAAACAAACAGGATTAAACAGCTAAAAACGCTTTGAGTCAGCTCCAAATCATTCAATTAGTGTTCTGAATAAGCCAGAGAACAGCACGCTAATAAGGCCACGAAAATTCAGCTTCATAAATTCATCTGCATGGGAAAATAATTCAGCAGAGGGTTCATTTGTATTTTATTTATACCTCTGGGCATTTATCTGAAATGGAAAACAATGAAGATGTTTTGTCTGTGAGTTCGGCTCCCTGGCGTATACACCCCCTCAAAATGTGGAAGAGCATGTGCACCTGATAGGGCACAAGGACAGCGGTGTGGAAAAAACCTGCTGCTAGAAGGATGTTCACCTCTCTCTGAGCAGAAAGCAACCACATTAGTTCACTACTATCGACATTTAACCAGCCACACAGAACAGAAATCATTTTCTCCACTTGTATGAGTCAGTCTCTGTTTTAAACACCTACTGATGAATCCAATTTCCAGGCAGATAAAAACACAGTGGGTCTAAGTTACCGGAGAGCGTTAGACTAAAAGGGAAGGGGGTGGTTTGATGAGTCATACTTATAAAACTCAATCATTCGCCGAAAACATCGAGTTTTTAAGAAACTACAAAAACAAACAGCTCAAACCTAGTCACAAAGCGATGACATCAGGTGGTGCTACATAGGACATATGGTCACTACCAAGGGGGCGGAGCTTCACGGCTAATTTTATTGTGCTGTAATGAACTAAAGGAACAGACACTACTCCAGATATAGTTTTCTCCATTCATAGAAATATTCACATTAAAAGTCAACTTTAGTCCATTGCAGTGGTGTCTCGTAGGAGTGAATGCCTTGTAAGTCCTTCTCCGGGGGAAAAAAGTTCAGACGCGCCTATTTAAGGACGTAGAAGTTTGCTGGAGGAGAAAGTAGCTTCAGACAGCAGGATTTTTCCTGATATTTGCACGTCTCACTTCTGATTGGATAACAGCAACACGACTCTACCACCAACTTGCAACACTTATGTTTTACCCCCACTAACAACACAAGCCTGAAGGAGTTCTGCTGTGTGGAGGAGTTGCTAATGCGAACGGTTGGCTTCTACTAGTTAAGACATTCTCTGCTATTTCCTGGACGCTAAACCAACAACAGCCTTCCGCGTTGAGTGAAGATGGGTGAGTCCATGAATGTTAAGTGACAGTGTGACGTAGATCTGTCAGGGTGTTCTAATCCTAGAGTTTCACCATCTACTTTCTATCAGAAGCTAATGCAGGAGATAGGTGTAGGAGACTATTTTCATGTTCAGCCTGCATGAAAAACTCAAGAGTGATCGATTATAATCAGAAATAATCATTAAAAACATTGTAGGAGCTAAGCAGTGTGCGTACGGACAAACTTGTCTAATTCTCTTTGTGTCTTGTTAAAACCCAAGAACCGCAATATATTTTCAGTGAAGCTGACCTTTAATCTGCTAAAAACACTTAAACACCACCAGCCCTGTCTCACATCCAGATTTTTAAGAATATACATTTTTCAAAATAAAACACAATTGTGTGCATGGACAGGGGGTTGCAAACACAAACATTATTTGGTGTAACAGAGCCGGGGAACAGGTACTAGCCATCATGGCTGACTCCAGGTGCTAGCCGTTAGCATTTCCTGGTGGTGTGGAATGTGGGCGGGGCCAACTTATGGCCCTGAGATGTTCAACAGAAATCGAAATTAACAGCAAATAACGTGTCAAAGCATACTTTTGTTAGAAATTTTGTGAATATAAATAGATTTAAGTAGTATAATATAATACATTTTTAAGCTGCTTGTCTTTTTAGGATTATAGTTTGTAAGTTCAACAAATACAGTCAGGGGCTACAAGCAGTGCGAGGACCAGTGGTTAATGAATAAAAACTTTAGACACAGACTCTGAAGAGACAAAAGCAGGGCTAAAATGATGCATTAACTCAAATAAATCAGTTAAAATAAATCCTCAAGGCAAATTTTCATTAACTGAAATGAAAATAATGAGGAGGAACTCTGATGAGAGTAAACAAAAATCCCCAGGAGTTTGAGATTTAATTAAATAAATAAAACTACTTGACTATACTTGTCCTGAAGAATAATTTAACTAGCTTAGCGCAATACCAACAATGTTGTAGCTTTGCTCTGAAACAGAACCTCTTTAGAATAAGATCAGCAAAAAGGCGCAGCTTCCTTGTAATCCCTTTTAATCCTGCCAATAATTACTGTGTACCTTAGGAGCGTAAATACCTTTAACTTACCGTTTTTCTGTCTAGTTTTATCCTAATATTGATGCCAGACTTAGAGGAAGTTATAAAGGCATCAATGTACAATAAGTTTAAGTTATTTAGAAGAATATTGAGCACAGCCGAGAACGTTCTTACTCTGTATTTTGAATGGCTCATTATGTGATTTCATGGCTTTTTAGGTGGAATTGTGTGGATGGAAGGGTTGAGTACCATCATTATTATCTAATAAAAGTGTGATTGGTGTAGCGTAGATGGGATCATAAACATGACTCCACGTAAAGACTTGCATCTTACCAAACTTTAAACCAGTGTTTTTTTTTTCCTCACAAAACAATTAAATATTAATGTTAGACCCAGAGAGGAGCACTAGGAATAAAACCAGACTGGAAAATAATGATTTTTCCCCTCCTCTCATTTCAGTTTTTCATCATGCTATCAGTTTTTTTTTTTGGCTTATAATGAAAATCATCCAAACTTCATTGACTTCCTGTCACAATGAGAGCCCTCTCGCTTCCATGTCAGGTTTCCAGAATCGGGGTAAGCAAATATCTATTGTTGTCGCCTGACCCATCTCTTACTTCATCCCTCTATGATCAGATGATAAAGTCACATTGAAGCCACCAAAGTAACCGTAAACCTTGATGTGATTTGGGTGTATTTTTGTCTACCGTGCCTTTGCTTTCTCACCTTGCAGAGATGCTGAGGAGAGAGCACCACGTGTCTGCAGTAATGATTCAACTTTTATCTTTTATGAAAGAGGCTCAGCAGAAGCCAACAGGGAGCCAAACTGCTGTATTTATTTATTTATCTATTTATCTATCAGAGCTGCACAAGAGAATGAAACACGCTTTCAACATGACATTAGATGTAATTAATGCAAATGTTTCTATTTTGACATAAATAAGCTCAAAACAATAATTTCTGCACAAAATAATGACTAATTTTTATGATGATGATGAGATTTCATCAATAATTAAATCAGATTGTTTATCATCACTGCACATGATAACATTCTTAGGTCACTAGTCTCCATCATTTATGTTCATCATTACAGAACAAATAAGACCATCTTTGTTAAGCTGATAAATTATTACTGTAAAATTGACAATATTCTAATATTGTGTGATATAATTTCACTTCAACTGCACAAAATTAATCCATCAGATAAAATATTACTTTTACTGATCATGATAAGTCACATTTATTGATAACATTCGACTGTTTTTGTGTTAATAACTAACAAATATCTATCTATCTAGATCTTCGTGTATATATCTAGTTCTATAGATAAATACATAGAGTGTGAAATGACCATTGTGTTGGTTTTTCCTGATCATGGTGGGAAAGTTCTATAATCTGATTCACCAACAAACTCAGAACAACCACTTCTTACTACATTCTGTACATGTATGTGACCGCTTTAAGGTTTTGGAGCCGACTCAGAACCAGATGAAGGTGGGTACTGACCTCCAGCAGCTTGAGATTGTCCAGGTCCAAGGAGCTCTCAGATCCAGCAGCTTCCATCATGTTCAGGTTGTGCAGGCCTTGCTTACCAGCTCCTGTTAATAGTCATCACACAGACTAACATCAGCAAAATGAGGATTAAAAACTTCTGATCTGATGGGCAGTAGAAGTCCACCTAGAGCATGTAAACTATCGCATTAAAATTGTTGTTGAAAATGTTTCTTCAGAGCGTGGCGCCATGGAAACTCACCACGTGTCATGCGGTATCCAAAGACGAAGGCTACAACGAGCACGGCGAGTGCACTGACTACTGCCAGGGCAATAATGATCGTCACGTCACTGCGCATCGTTCCACTATCTGAGCAGGAAACATAAAAAACATAAAAACGGTGACCTTTACAAAAGAAGAGCAAATGATCAGACTCCATGCTTTATGATTAAGATCATGGTCACACAATAACAGCCTAGTCTGTTAGGTAAACCTGAAGCTACCCAGCCAGCACTACTACTGGATTTCATTTTGGGAAATTAAATTGTCATGAAAATTCGTAGAGAAACCACAATTCATCTAAGACAGCAGTACGAAAAGGAAAAGGAGATAAACTTTTCAATTCTGACTTTGGACCTACACTATAGTGTTACTGACCAAAAATAAAACATGCACCTTTTGTTTCACACCTTCCTAAGGAGGCTCGCATCCTCCCCCTTCTGACGGTAAACTCACGACCAAGTCACGTTGCTGCAAGGTGGCTGAACAAGGACAAAACACACTGCTGGCTTACGCCGCATGTCAAAAATATTCTTCAGTTCATTATACCAATTAGTTAAACGTTTCATATGTAAGAACACCCAGGAGATTGCATCGAGTCACTGACTTGCACTAAGCCAGCCTGCAGCAACAGTGGAGAGGAAAACTCCTTTTTAACAGGAAGAAACCTTCAACAGAACCTGGCTCAGCCAAACTTGAATTATTGTAAGGTATGTCCCCCACACGCTCTGTGGTGCTCAGATATTTTTGTGCCATATAATTTAATTTTTAAGCATCAACCCTCCTGAGGCCTGATTCCAATCTGAAGCAGTGATTCCATCCCCACATACTCAGCACGACTCTAATCCAGTACGTTAGACAGCATTTCCATCTAGGTTCCAGTTTACTGTACAACTTTCACCACCTGTTTTGATGTGGTCTCAAATGCACCGAGCAGAAAATGCAATGTTGGCAATCGCCAGTCACTGACTGGCTGGGGAGTGGTGGGGGGTGGAGTTGGGGTGCTTCAGAGTTTTGTGCCTTCTACCCAAAGTCTGAAACAACCAAGCAGATGGTTCATCAGCACCATGTCTGCCATTTTTGTGTTGTGTTTACGTGTGACTTACAAATGACCTGGCGCTGTGTAAAGATCACAGCTAATTTTGTGTTGGATACAGATCAGCCCGTCTTTCTTATGTTACCAATCAGATATAATTTATTTATTAACAACCATTTTCTTAACATTTAGCTTTATAGAAACCACCTATCAGTCACCAGATCTTACAGGTAATGGGGAACACAATACAATATTCCATTGACTCGTGCTAATATGCTTTCATGTGGAAGTTACCTGAAAGTGAGGCTAACGCTAGCTCACTTTCCGTCTATGTTGGGCGATAACGCCCGAAACTTTCTGCAAAGTTTAAATCAGTTGGTTGCTGTTCTGCTGAAACCTCATCTCTCCATTACATGTTTATGTCGGCTTCTGACCTCTCTTCCTTCCTGTCTCACAATCCCCCCCCCCTCCACACACACACACACACACACACACACACACACACACACACACACACACACACACACACACACACACACACACACACACACACACACACACAAACAAACAAACAAACAAACAAACAGCCTTATTTCATTTGAAAGACTACCTTTATTATCATTTTTTGAACCTGCGGTGGTTTCCTTCACCAGCACTTGTCTACATTTTCAGCTGATAAAGCTAACCTGTGAATTCCCACCTTGCTGTAGCTGCAAGCTCATAGCTCCCCCATTAATACGGATGACTCATCGTTCTGTACCAGTTTTGGGGAGAAAGTCGACGTTTAGTTTCTTTATCCTCTTGTACCAAACAGCGTACCCAAGAAAGCAGGTTGGATAAATTCCAGTCCCAACAACAAAGACAGGCTGTTAGCAAAGATAATATCTCTAAAAACAAATGTTCTGCTGAGAACGAAAATAATGAGTAGAACCGGGGTCTAGAAAAAGCTTCCATCTCTGTTTCCATCAGTCAACACCCCGTTGCTGTTGAGCTACCAGTTTTATTAATTATTGATGACATCAAGAGCCTGAGGGCAGGTCTGACTGACATGCTGGCATGAGTATGGATACACTTCCTGGCACACGCACACAGACACACACTAGCTAACAGGGCCTCCTTCAAACTAAAAGCTCCTAAGAAGCTGCCTCATAAAAGTCGGATGAGCAAACACACACAGATTGTAAATGAATGTTTAGAATAACCACCTCATCAAGGACAAAGTCTACAGTCTTAACACACCTAATGGTCTCATTGCCAACAAGCTCAACTTATGCACATATGTGCCTCACGTGAGTGTTTGACTTTGTACTCAAAACACAAAAATGCCGTCGCTAAGGCTGCTTTGCTTTCCGACTCTGGAACACGAGAGATGGCTGGCTGAGATAAAGCCACACTTGTGCTGGTTTGACTTCAGATTAAATCCTCTGATGCATCATCATCTCACCCAGAAAGACCGAATGAGCTTGTTTGGCGAGTGTCTGAATGCATCATCTTTGAATGGAGAGGTCGTCGCCCCGGCTTTAAAACAAACACCTTCATGTTCACAAGTGGATTCACTTTCACTTTGAATCAGAAAATCGAATCACTTGATGTGCCGCCTTGTGTCTCTGTGACCGGCCCGGGTTCAGATCAGTTAGCAACATAGTCGACTTTAACAGCATTAAAACTCTGACCCTACTTTTGTAATAATGCCTGTCTGCTGTCTTATTGCGGCTTTGACTCATGTTATGAATTTAAGTGTTCCTTCTATCGCTCATCTTTAACGCCATCATCCATTCGTTTAGCATCAAGATCACTCAGACGGCCAAATGACTCCACTCCTTTCATCTATAACTACCAGCATGAATCTGCCAGGCCATGTGTCAGGAGTAAAAAGGAGGAAGGACAATTGTGTTCCTAAAGTTGGACTTTTTGTCCACTCATACCCGCCACTCCCATATGCAGATGTCTGCAGAGATATAGATCTATATCTATATCTACAGATTCATATGTATAGCTCTACATTTACAATACAAATTTGCAGGAAAAAAATGTTAGTGCATAATAAAAAATGTGCTAAACAAATATAAACATTCCCTATGAAGAAAAAATAACTGAAAACTTATCGTCTCGCCGAGCAAAAAACATTTTTATAAAAACACAGAAAAGGTGAATTTCTGTGACACTAGGGATGTAAGAAAATATCGATATGGCAATATATCGTATATCGTGATATTTTTTCCTGCAATATTATATCAATATTCAAACGCTATGAATTTAATCTTTGGAAGAATTTACATGCAAACATTTGTGTATTTGTTTTTCTTTTGGTGCAATTCAAAGGCCAACGGCTAGGTGGCAGAAGATTTGTATCGTCTCCCCTGTATCGTGATACGTATCGTCTTGCCAGAATTTCACCAATACACATCCCTAATTGACACCACATGTTTTTCTTGTAAATATTGTTTTCCAAGAATTAAAGGTGTCTATACATTGGCTTACTTTTTATTTCAGCTGTTCTGAATGTGGGTAACGGTTTGTAACAATGTACTAGGCTCTGTCCAGTCAAGCCTTCTGACTAATGGACACGTGACGAGTGTTAATTGACTCTGCACACCTGATTATAAATATGAGGCTCCCACTGTTGACAGGCGCCACCAGACTCTCCAACCACCATCATCAGGCAAGGCAGTTTAGTGTCTTGCCCAAGGACACAACAGCAGCATTCTCTGGTCGGAGCTGGGATCGAACCTGCAACCTTCAGACTGGACAACCTGCTCTCCCTCTTGAGCTACCGCTGTCCCCATAAACGTGAATGTTTTCACAAACGCTGATGAAGTGTATTTTCTTTTCATGGCAAAAACAACCAAAAGAGGAAAATAATGGTGTGATGTTTAAAAACCAGACGTGGGCTTGTAAATTTTTTGAAACGTGATTTGTTTAAAATTGTATCATGAATTGTATCGAATCGTATTAGCAGAGCGTTTCACCGTATCGTGTTGAGATGCAGTTCAAATTAGCCTTAGTGGTGTGGATTCACATTATACACACACACCCACACACACAACACACACCCACACCCACACACATAACACACACACCCACACCCACACCCCCACACCCACACACACACACACAAATGTATACGGAAATATCAAATTTCGGTTCAGCTATTTAAATGACCGAGTCATTCCCTGGTGATTTTTGTCAGCTCCTGTTGCTTTTTAATAATAATTTCCCCGTCTTTCTCAGACCATGTTAATGGTTGTGTTTACAGCAATTGTGTCTTTTTTTGTGCTGTTTCACTGTGCCTCTCTAGGACATAAATAAAGTTTTATTGAATTGAATTAATCTGGCAAAACCTGAATTCAGGCAATAATTTCACTTATTAATCAGAAGAGATCAGCGCGTTACCAACTCCCCTGCTTTGGCCTATTATAGTTTTACTCCGTAGAACAGCAGCAGACAGCCAGAGCAGACGCTGTGTAATCCGTGGAATGCAATGAGACGGCATGGAAACGTATGTGTGTGTTTGTGTGTGTGTGTGTGCAGGTGAAGAGCTGGCGCTGCCGCCTCCGCCCCCATCCTGCCACACACGCTGCTTCCATTCACAGCCACAACTAAAAGGGGAGGAACATTTAACGTTTAACAATGCATCTGTCAGCTCCATCTGACAGCTCGCTAATGCTTTAAAAGCACCAGAGACGGGCGGCGATGCAAGCTGGATCCACTATTAACCACTCTCACTACGTCTTAGTGGAATTTCCAGGCTTTGTCCTCAAGAGTTCTGGATGATAATCCAGTATCTCATTTCCTCTCAGCAACTCGAAGGGTACCGACGTTCAGATGGAAACCAGACAGCCTTTACTCACAGCTGATCCTCTAGAATCAGAAACTTTTTTAACTGGATTTTCAAAATGTTCATGACAAGAAAGAATCATTGGTATTAAAACCTCAATTAAACAGAAAAAACAGCTGCTTCAGAACAACATGCTAAAGCTTAAAGATCTGCCTGTGACTGGTTGATCCACGGCAGCAGTGAGAGAAGTGCTGCATGTGTGGCAAGCTGTTACATCATTTGTTATTGTCTGTTTAAAAAATTAATGAAAACAGCAAATCTAGTACCTGGCACTTCTTGTGTTGCGTTCACCTGTTGTACACAAGATGCACCAACTAGTGAATCAGACCAATGGCATTGATTAGTATTCTGTATGAACAACTACTCAATCTTTCTTAGTTTGAAAAGGGAAACGCAGTATTGTTGCATCTTTACTTAATAAGCTGACCAAACTGGTACAAACTCAGGTTTAAAAGGTCCAGTTCTACTGGTGCCAACTGGCCTGCTAGCTGATTAATTGGCTTGACTAAATTAGCATGGGTTGATCTTTACCCAGCCTTTCCGTCAGATGATAAGGGTGTATGTAGTATGCAGCAATTAGCTGTAATAGTGAATGGGTGCTTTTGTGACTAACACAAAACACTGAGTTTTGGACACTCCCCAGAAGTGCAGGGATGCATCGCTCTGCTACATTTTTGCATTTCTAGTCCATTTTCTTTATACGTTACACTTGCAAAATCTGTAAAGGAGCACAAAAACATGACAGCAGTGGAAAACATCCCAAAACTTTATGCGTCATTATCTGAAACCTCCATGGCTGAAGCACACAGAAAATAAACCACACGTGTTTGGAAAGATGCTGCAGTCTTTCTACTTGCTTGTTACAGCGTGAACTGCTGAAATCACATTTGGTCTTACAATTCTCCTGTTTTCATGACTCCACGGTACCAGCTGTATGGAACAATTTTGCTTGCCTTTCTCGTCTGAAACGCTCCTGGTGGGAAGGGACACACTGCCAAACTCGCGGGTAAAACTATTATATATTTTACGAGACGCTTAGGGGTCCGGTGGAAACGCCTGATTACAGATTAATCTGAAAATGTCAACGCATCAGTCTGTATTAATTCATCTGTTGGCTGATTGATCAAAGTCCTATACAGCTGAATAAACGTTATAATTTATTTAAAGTTCCACAGATACGATTTAGTCCTTAGGAACCAATGCAAGTCAACTTGTACTAAACTATTAGCTGGTTAGTGAAATAAGGTCATGTGCCACTCATTCTGCAAACCAAACTCCAGTTGACCTCCTTCATTAAATTAGCTAATTAATCAAATTCAAACTCTTATATGAATAGCCTGCCAATGGATTGATCAATCACCCAATCCATTAATTGGTTTAGCAGTACTGATGACCTGGAAACGGCTGGATTTCTACGGATGATTAGCATATGTAGAAATTCCCATTTGAATTGACCTCTAGTTATGGATTCAAATATTCTGACACCAACAGATGCTTCATTTCCTGTGGATGGGGGGTTTGTTTCTGAACTGTGGCGACCTGGGTGATTCCATCTGATCTTTAATACATTTGTTATTCCCGTTTAACTGTGTGAGGAATTCCCCGACCAGTGAATTCTCCAGGATAGGAAAGGCTAAGTGTAATTTCCCCTGTTGGTTTTCTTAACCAAGACCAGGTGAGAGTCCTTACTCAGAGGCTGTGCGGTGGTGGGGCTCGGTGGTGGGAAGTCCTCAGTGAAGTTCACATTGCACATGTCGCTGCCGCAGCAGCAGAAGTGGTACGTTCCATTCTGCATCTGTGGAGGAAGGTTGGTCACCACGCAGCTGTCCTCACGGCAGGCATGTTGATCACCCAGGTGACTCCAGCAACCTGGCAGAAAAAACAAAAACATGGTTTCTCTTCACATTTCCCACGATGCACATCTAAAACTCTTGACCCGTAGAACAGATAAGCAGCAGAAGACAAAGAAGACCTTGTTTGACCAGTCGCACTTCTCCAGGAGGACTTTTCTCCCACAGACCAAAGCAGTGGCTGCCCTTGGCACATCGAATGGTGGTGTTCTCTGGGGAGACCCGGCCTTCGCCCCCAGCTACTCGCTCCACCTCCCATTGCTGCTCCTGGTCAGTGAAGGCACACTCTCTCTCCTCGCCCTGGGCTGCTGTGAACAAACCAGGAGAACAGGGTCAGGATTACACTAATTTAACCCAAAGAAACAATGAAAGACAGAAGATGATGAAGAACCTTTTGGTCTGGGACCTGGATCAGTCAGAACCTGTAAGGCTCCACTTACAGGGACCTCTAGTTTTTAGACCAGCATGCATAAAGTGTAGAAAGCATATGCCAGCTACCAAAAACTGGACTAGCTGAGTAGCTTAAGTGTTGGGTACATTTATTGCTAGTCCATGTCGCCATTTAACTTGCAGCCTTCTTTCTGAACAGTGAACAGTAGGTGTCTCTACTGAGAAGGTTACAGCATCAGTAATGGTCCTTTCCTACCAAGAGCCTACCAAGTGAGTTTTGGCTCAGCTCTGTTCTAATGCCTAGTTTATATTACTCTGTCAGCAGGGTGTGGCGCCATGAAACACCATCATATGTTGATGCAAGCTCTTTGCGGGAAAACAGCAGTGGGTGACGGAGACATGCCCAATTTTTTAAATGTCTATCAAAAGCTATGAGGCACAAGCCTTTAATAATAATAATAATTAGGTATATGTATTGGTGAAATTATGGCGATACGATAAGTATCACGATACAGGGGAGACGATAAGTTATATCACAATATATTGCGATACATTCAGTCAGACGATGTTAGCAATATTTTTTAGACTGAATTTGTTAGTCCAAATTGATACTTGACATGTTAAACATGAGGTACCTAAACCATAATAGAGGGATTTACATTTCAGTGGTGGAAACAAAACCCATTGCACAATGCTGCCAACTAGCGGTTAGCGTTTGATTTGCAACAAAAGAAAAGAAAATACAAAATGTTTGCATGTAAATTCTTCCAAAAAATACATATACAGCATTTGAATGTCGATATAATATTGCTGCAACAAATATCATGATATATTGCCATATCGATATTTTCTTACATACCTAATAATAATCATCATCATCATAATACATTATTTAAAGCACCTTTCAAGGAACTCAAGTTTACTGTACAGCAAAAAAAGAAAACATAAAAAATAAACAATACAAATCCAAGTTAAAAGTTAAAACCAAGCAAAAACAAATCCCTCATAAAAACCCTAGGTAAAACAGAACAAAAGTCAGATAATAAAACTGTGAAACTATCTCATAAACAGTACACACTAAGCAGTCTAGAAAAGGTGAGTTTTTAGTTTGGATTTGAAGATGGGGAGGGACTCAAGAGTTCTGGATAAATGATAAATGACCCGCACTTGTAAAGCACCTCCCAGAGTAAGGACTCCAAAGCGCTGTACACTACAGTGTATCATTCATCCATTCACACACACATTCACACACTGATGAATTGTGGCAGAGAAATCTAGAGGGGGGGAGCATAGCAACTGAAGGATCTGAGGCCCAGTGAGATAAGACGGAAGGATGGAACAGTAAGACGGACAGATGATGACAATGTTGGGGAGCGGACTGGAGAAACAATGTGAATAGATTGGGGGGGGGGGGGGGGGGGGGGGGGATTGTGAACAACCTTGAATGTGAGAAGCAGGGCTTTGAACTCGATCTGTTGTTTAACTGGGAGCCAGTGGAGTTGCTAAAGGACCGCACTGATGTGGTGAAATAGGGGAGGTCCTGTGATGGCCTATGTAGCACAGTTCTGAACTAACTAAAGCTTCTTTTAGGTAGACCAACCAGAAGTGAGCTACAGCAATCAATTTGGAAAGTGACTAAACTGTGGATGAGAATAGAAGCAGAATGGGGGTGGGGGTGGGCGCGAAGGTGATCAATATTACAAAGATGAAAATAAGCTGACTGTGGGATGTTGTTGATAGATAGAAGATTTGAATATGAGATGGTGTCAAAGGTTGAAGTCAAATCAAGGAGGATGAGGATGAAAAGTAAACCAGAGTCAGCTGCAGTAAGAAGGTCATTGGCGATTTTTACAAGTGCAGTTTCAGTGCTGTGACTAAGATGGAAACCAGACTGAAAGGGTTCATAAAGATTTCTGAGTGGCAAATGAGTGCAAAGTTCAGAGGTAACAACTTTCTCCAACTTTTTAAAAGAAAAGGCAAGTTAGAAATGGGCGTAAATGATTTTTTCAATATGAGAGTGACAGCAACAGTTTTAAGTTGAGACAGAATTACGTCAGTCCGGATGCCACTTCCAACAAAAAAGCATAAGAGTTGAAAAGATATCTGAGAGTAGCCTACAAATCAAGACCAACCATAGCAGTGGCAAAAGATTTAGCTCTGCAGGTCAATCTAGCCATGCTCCCTTGTAGCCGTAAGCCTAGTTTATGCTTCTGCGTCTGTGTCGGTACAGAAACACGCAACACCATAATCCATCCTTGCGAGGGCTCTCCAGCACTCGCAAGGATGAACAGAGTCGAGCCCACTTTTCTAAACTTCTGTTGAATGAGACAGAGACCACTGGACAGGACACAGCTTTCATCAGTAGAACCGCCATTGCGCCCTCAAAAAAAAAAAAAAGATATCTAGCAGCAAACACAGAGCGGATTGAAGAATACCTCGCGGAAAAACTCTAAAAAATATGAACGTTTATTCACCTGTCACTGGAGAAGTAAAAAGATAGGCAACAGGTGTTTAATTTGTGGACGGAAATTAAGAGAAACGTGGACTTAGAGGTGGTGAGCGCAAGAAGAGGTGGAGGAGAATAAGGGACAAATTTGTCCATGTTGAAAAGTCTATGAAACACATAAACACAATATAATGTATTATCTTGGACTGGTAACGTGACAGGATACCCCAGAACAGCTCCACGCCCTCTGTTGTCCTGGCGGGGAATTGCTTTGCAACACTGCCCAGGAGACGGAGAAGTACGAGGGCAAAACGCTTCCATCAATCCTTGCATGTCTCTCTCTTGTGGAACTGACGCAGAAGCATAAACCAAGCTTTAGGCTTAAATTTGGGGCATGACTCAGTCAGCCTCCGCAAGCCTGTCAGAGGGTTCTTGCATCGACGCATAATGGCGTTGTGGGTGTCCATCCCGACGCAGATGGAGAAGTGTAAATTATGCGTAATGGGCTCGACAAACAGGAGGCAGCGTCGCCTCCCCTCCCCTCCATGCACGAGAAAGCAATAATCGTGGGTCTCCCTCCTACTAAGCGAAATGCAAAAAACGTGCATGTGAAAATTGCACTCGTGCACGTGTCGCGCACAGACGGGACAGCGATGCAATCTGAGAAGTTGAAATTTTTCAAAATTTCATCACCTTTGCTCAGAAATGGACTAATCAGCGGAGGTTTCATTGACTGACCAATGAGCGGACGGGATGCTTCTCAGTGCCTCTCTGAGCAAACATGAGAGAAAAGTTAATACAGAGATCTTCACGAAAAGGCAGCAGCATGGAAAATCGTTGGCGAGTTGGTTGTTGGTGTGGTCTCATATTTAGTTCTGTTTGTAATATGGGATGAACCCATTCACGTATTTTCTTTTTTCTATATAGTAAAATCAGAAGTAAAACTCTGAACTGCTTTCATAACCCAACATTCCCTCCAACCTGACAGCCAACCAAAACAACGGAAGACGCCCTATTCGCCCTGGAACAGAGCTTGTCGCTGGTTTTTGCCACAGCCCACTGCCGCATGTCGCCTCCCGTGTGTCAGGTTATCAAAGCCAAAGCAAAAAGTTTAGCTGATCGCAGTTGTTTGTTGCATCCTGTGTGTCGAGCCTATAAGCAGGTCCACCACTGGCCCAAACAGTTATGTGTCTGGCCAATCACAGCATTCTATGTTTTTAGGGTGGGCTTAACACTAGAACTGTAACAAAGAAAAACTACAAAGATGGCATCGGCTCAGGAATGGTGGTAGTTTGAAACGGATTAGGCATCAACTTTGATCTATTTAGGCTTGTGCTTTTCTTTGACCCATGAGTAGATAGAAGTACACAAGTCATTTATTTCAAATAAAAAGTATTTGTTCCTTCTTTGATGGTGTACGGCAGTCTGGCCTGTTCACTGACATTTGTAGAGGTATGTCACGTTGTTTGTTGCTCTGACTGGTCTTCGTGATGCGGAGACAGTCTGAATATCAATCCCCGATTCCACCTCTATGAATGAGCCGTTTCAAAGGTTCTTGGCCAAAATATTAATTTACATATATAGGATGGCTTGCTAGGCTAATCTAGCAGCAGAAATGGTGAAGAAAGAAGAATGTCTTGCGCAAGAAGTCAGGTGATGTGAACATTTATACAACCTTCAATGAATGAGTACAAAGTCTGCTGTGCAGACTTTTATTTTTTCTTATGTATTAAATTTTAATTTAATTTTAATGTGTACAAGGATGTGCATTTACATGCCCAGGCTGGTCATTTGCCAGAGTGATGACTGTAATGGTGGCAGGGTTGTGCAGAAGGTCCGGTCTAAAAGGACAAAGACAGTTTAGACTTCTGCTTTAGAAAATGTTTTTGTTTATTAACCGTTAATGGGTGTCAATAGCCGGTTGAAGGAAATGTGGAAATCATGCGTCCCTAGTAGAGATCATATTCTTTTGGCCAGTTTTTAACAGACTGATTAAAGTTGCTGTACAGATTATTTCATTTTTCTGATGGCATCTAGTGTCTAGTGGCTGACAAGTGTATCACACCTTGATCCATTTTCATTTCTGTATTTAAGGTCGAAAGCAATGCCAGTTGTTCTTGAACGTGCTCCTCTAGCCAAAAAATGAGCTAAAGCACATCATTTTACAATTATTATGCTTACGTTATGTTGTGTTTTCATATATTTACGGCTTACTTGTCCATGAAAACGGTCGCAAACCTGCATCAACCGAAGTACGTCCTTAAACGCTCGAGCACACTCCGTGATTGATGTCTGTATGTAAGCGATAGTCTAACGCTATTGGTTAGTGCTGACCGGCACTCAGTTCATAGTGCATTGAGCTCTCCGGGACAGGGGACGGGCTTAGCAAAAAAAATAAAAATACGCATTTCCTACATTATATCACAGTACATGATAAAGACAGACATTTGAATGCATTACTGAAAGATCATA